GTAACAGTTAAAAGGAAAAGACAGACAGACAGACAGACAGACAGACAGACTCATCTTGGCTACTGTCCTGAACACAAGTTTGAATATACTACCCCTCAGACGTCAGCAGGGTTTCTGCTGAGGTAACAGGATTACTCTGACAAACAAGCATGCGGAATTGCACCCTTATATCCTCGCTCCACCTACTGCTATTACCTAACATTTATTTAGTGCCTACAGAACAGGTACTTGGTTCAACATTTTACTGGCTGTTGACTTACCAACTTTTCCAAACTTTGCATTGATGCCACCAGTTCATTTTGACATTCGATTATCATTTTGAGCAGAGACATAATAGTAATGATAATATGCTTTTATACAGTGCTTTACAATGTTCAAACCACTTTGCATATATTCTTGGTAATTTTCAAAATGTCCCTGTATATTCAATAAATGTCAAGGAGGTCTCATTATGCTCATAGTGGGCTTAGGTGAAGAAATGGTGTATTGCATAAGACCTCTTTCCTCTGCAAAATGCATGTTACAGAAGCAAGTGGCACTGAGGTAGGCAATACACGTTTTCCCTGTTGTCTTCTGCATTTGTGTCATTCTAATGTTCATGCTTCAGATGTTTCCTTTGAAAGGGACAAGAGAAATTCAGAGAACACCATTCGTCACATACAGCTCTTCGTTAAAAGCACTGCAGTGTTTCATCAATGAACTACAGGATAATAATGGTTCCCCCACACAGGTGACCGGCCTGTACCTACACTAAAACAGGTACAGAAGGAACAAAGCCTGCAAGAAGCCCAGATTCCACCTGGGTCCCCATTCTACACTGACGACACGGTCACAGGATCTAGTAACGTCGGCCATCAACATTCGCCTCATCTGCCAACATGTTAAGCGATCGCCTGCCAACCATTCCCTTCTGCCTTCCATGTCGAACTAACAGGTCAGAAAAAAGAAATCTGACATCTGCCAAATCTGACATCTGAAATGTTTTGAAACTAATAGCAGACGTCACTCTCTCTGGACACTGGTGCTGGCCTGCAAGTTGCTATTCTCCAACATAAAGGGAGACTCCAGTGTAAAACAGCTGAATTAGAACAAGTAGCACATTGTGCAGTGTCTTTCAGTGCTTTGTATTATCTAGTTGCATTCTTTAGCGCAGTCTTGTAATATAAAGCAGTATTGCTATTACCCATATTTCAGATGGAATAATGGATGAAAAAAGAGCGGCTCATCTAAGAACCATTGGAGGGTTCATGGCAGAAGTAAAACTTGAACCAAGAACTTCCTGATTCAGTCTCTCAGACTGCAATCCTATGCATACTTCCCTTGAGAGGAAGCTCCATTGGCTTGCTTCTGAGCTGATATGCATTTGGATTGCAATATTAGGTATTGTAAATGCATCTAAACAACATTTGCTTCTTTTTTGTTTGGATACAGATCACTCATTAAGGGTGCTAATTTACATAGTAGCGCTAAATGATTGTCCTATGGCTGGTTACTGTTGTTGTGAATGGTGACTGTGATTATTTTACATATAGAATTAAATAGACTGTACTTTTTGGACTTAACATTTTTATTCATTTCCTTTGGATATACCCCTCTCTACTGAGGATAAAACTTCATGAGCTTGATGACTTCCAGACTAGCTGTTAGTCCAAAAGTTTACATGTTATAATAAATGGGTTAACCTTTCAAGGCTACCATACTCTCTGAAAGGCTTATCTGGACAACTACCTCAGGCCTCTGAATGTTAGAGAGCAGAGCACAGAATGTTTGCAGTGAGCACTGAGAAAACACTACACTCAGGAGCAAGCACAGAGCACATAACTTGGTTCTAAGTTCCAGTATTTATTCAAGCATGCTTTTTCCAAAATTATATTTCATATATATGAATGATCAGATGTTTTGTAAGGTATAATTTAACATAGTCTGATATACTGTTTAGTAGCCCATGATATTTATCTGGGTGGATGTTCTTATTACTATTATTAATTGTATTCATGCACTGCCCTTCCTCCCAAGGGAGTGTCATATTGCAACACTCGTTTAAAGGCTAATTCTTGAGACTGAAAACAGGTTGCAGCACCAAGCTTTGGTATTTCCTAACTTTCTTCTGTGCTCGCATGGGGCCTTCTGGCAAATCAGACAGATTAGATAGAAATTTGTTAGAAAAGCCCTAAGGTACAGTCCCATGCATGTTTAGACAGAACCAAAGTCCTACAACTCTTAGCATTCCTAGGAGTTGTAGGATTCCTCTCACCATCCAGTCACACATAGGATTGTGCCCTCAATGGCTTTCAATTATGCAAGGAAAGGACAGCTCCAAAAGTGTGATTTTTAAAAAATGTTAAACAAGAGTACTGTTCATGTCACATCAGCCCTAGGAACAGGGCAGTTCTGTATCATTTGCGACAGAGGAAACAAACAAGTAGTTGGAAGCTAATAAACTCTGAATGTAGAACCAGGTTTAATGTCTGAATTCATGTTGAAGTGTTTAGAGATTAATCTGTTCTGATGAATTTTTCTTGCTTGCCAAATAGGTAAAAAAGGCAAACTCTAGTAACATGTAACCAATTCAAGCCACCAACCCAGTGTACACGAAATAGGTGTAATTTGGAGGCTGTGGTATACCTAGGGCAGGAATAGTACTTTCTACGAGAGCTGAAAGCACTCCGCATGGTACACAGCCTTGCTATCACCCGTTGGTTCAGGGGGTCGACTAGATGCAGGGATGGAGGCCAGTGGGCAGAGAACAGCTCAAATTCTGTTATTACTGCCAGCCACAATGAGCACCATTTCCCTGGTAGAAAGGCAAGGTATAAAGAAAACAGGCAAATAATACATGTTTAACAAACTACACCTTTTTTAACAGTTTAAAAAAAACTTTTTTCTGGCAAGTGGTTGTAAAGCCAAAGAAACAGCCAAGGGGGTTTTCTAGTAAAATCGTTTGCAACTATGGTGTGATCCAAAACAAGGATCGTACCATACGTATTCCGCCCCAAGCTGACAGTTATTCTGTTCTAAAGCTGAAGTTTGATCTGTGTAATTAATAAACCAGCATTTAATCTATTGTAGAAGCAATTGCAGTATCTGGTAACTGTTTTGATTAACGACTTAACGCTTTTGAGAAGTCTAGAGATGTTCAGAGCTGTGGGAAATGCAGTAATACGTAAGGTCACTAAAAGTAATGAAAGTATACACATGTGCATATATACTCATATATACATAAATGATGTATATACTTACGTAACAGTTAAAAGGGACAGACAGACATACTCATCTTGGCTACTGTCCTGAACACAAGTTTGAATATACTACCCCTCAGACGTCAGCAGGGTTTCTGCTGAGGTAACAGGATTACTCTGACAAACAAGCATGCGGAATTGCACCCTTATATCCTCGCTCCACCTGCTATTACCTAACATTTATTTAGTGCCTACAGATCAGGTACTTGGTTCAACATTTTACTGGTTGTTGATTTACCAACTTTTCCAAACTTTGCACTGATGCCACCAGTTCATTTTGACATTTGATTATCATTTTGATAGAGACATAATAGTAATGATCATATGCTTTTATACAGTGCTTTACAATGTTCAAACCACTTTGCATATATTCTTGGTAATTTTCAAAATGTCCCTGTATATTCAATAAATGTCAAGGAGGTCTCATTATGCTCATAGTGGGCTTAGGTGAAGAAATGGTGTATTGCATAAGACCTCTTTCCTCTGCAAAATGCATGTTACAGAAGCAAGTGGCACTGAGGTAGGCAATACACGTTTTCCCTGTTGTCTTCTGCATTTGTGTCATTCTAATGTTCATGCTTCAGATGTTTCCTTTGAAAGGGACAAGAGAAATTCAGAGAACACCATTCGTCACATACAGCTCTTCGTTAAAAGCACTGCAGTGTTTCATCAATGAACTACAGGATAATAATGGTTCCCCCACACAGGTGACCGGCCTGTACCTACACTAAAACAGGTACAGAAGGAACAAAGCCTGCAAGAAGCCCAGATTCCACCTGGGTCCCCATTCTACACTGACGACACGGTCACAGGATCTAGTAACGTCGGCCATCAACATTCGCCTCATCTGCCAACATGTTAAGCGATCGCCTGCCAACCATTCCCTTCTGCCTTCCATGTCGAACTAACAGGTCAGAAAAAAGAAATCTGACATCTGCCAAATCTGACATCTGCAATATTTTGAAACTATATTTCAAACTATATTTGAAATATTTTGAGAGCCTCAGCTATTGGGCGGTATATGAAATGCGCGAAAACCTCACTCCGCACACTGCACCTACATCCCTCCCGCACCCAGCCTCCATTATTCCACGCAGCGCAAATATGCCCGTCACGTGACGACGGTGTCTTCTTGGGCGGTGACGAGGGAGGAGGGAAGCAGCCGGAGTCTCGCGGAGCCAATAGGAACGCGGGTGCTTGGCCTTGAAGGTGGGACTAAGGGAGGCGCCGGACGGCTTTTAGGGGCTGAGCGTGCCGTGGCGATAGCAGTGCGGAGCAGGTGGAGGCGTCATGAGTGCCGAGGGGGAAGCTGTTGTGCTCGTTGCTGCTGCAAGGACCCCGATTGGTGAGTGGGGGATTTCGTGGTGATGCCGCCGCCACCGTCGCCTTTTCCTTTCGCTTGTACGACTGGGGAGCGAACGGGTTACTCGATCGCCATAACACCGGATAGTCGCGATCTGTGATGGCCATTCATTCGGTTGTCTCCGGGAAATCTTCCTACACCTCATCATATTGAAGATTCCCGGAAGCTGTTTCTCCTGTGGCAGGAAAACCAGGCAATAACTCTAGGCTGGGGAGTGCTCGGTGGGGAAGAGCTCTGGGTTGTATTTAGCGCAAGCCCTACTTCGAGTACACTTATTTAAGCGAATGGGACTGAAAGGTTAGGTTATCAATGGGAATAACCCACTCGGTACAGCCTCCGTGTTGCTTCTGCTGCTGAAGGGATGGGGAAAGTGTGGTCCTCCAACTCCCTTCGTCCCTCATATGACCGTACTGGGTAGGACTGATGGGGGCAGTAGTTGAACAGCATCTGGAGGTTCACACGTATCCCGCTTGCCTGGGTAACTGCTCCATTTTAATGAAACTGTATGGGTGATATTTTAGTTGTTAAAATTCCGCTTTAAACTTTAAGCAGAACGTTACGTTTTTATTATTTTCTATTGTATCTGATTGATTGACAGCACCTGAATTGCAGCTTAAAGTACTTGGTACTAGTGGGATACATAAAGATGTTTTATTGCTGCATCTATTACCCTTGTATCTCGCTTTTCGTCTCAGATAGTTCGAGGAAGCAGTGTACGTGGTGGTTCTTCTGAGGTTTTTTCCCCTCACAACAGCCTTATGAGAATTGGTTAGGCTGAGAGCGAGTGATCACCCAGCGAGCTTCAAGGCTGCTTGGGGTTTTGACTCGTTGTCTCCTTTGTAATAATGCAATGCTTTAGCAACCTTTCCTCACCTGCTTGTTTGGCAGAGTAATACCCGTTGTTTTAATGGGATTAGTGGAGAATGATGAAAAATTTGCTTCTTCAAAATAATCGGAACCCGAGCAGGCATCCCATTTCGCTGCTGCACCTATGAAAGTTGCTTCCCTTATTTTCTTTGTTCTACCTGCCAGAAAACATCGATGCGGCCACCCGAGGTTCCTCCCTCGCCTGTGCTTTGCCTGCAGCGATTGGGCAGTGGCTGTGGAGCCACTGGGTGGGGGAAGGCTGTGATTGCCTCGTGAGGGTCGCTGATGAGTGGCTCTTGCTCTGATTGGTCTGTGACCATGAGCGCTGGACCCCGGCTGCTCTCTCGCTTCATTAACAAAGCCCAAGACTGTTCTACTGCTGCCCCCTTCCCTCCATAGAGAAATGGGTCACGGGAGAAGAGGATATATGGTGCCTTTTGAGAACCTGGTTACAAAGTAATGTGATCTAGCTTGGCTAGAGAAATGGTACAAGATCAGATCCTGTTGTTTTGTTTTTTTTTTAAGACAACCTGGTTATTCCTGAGCATGCACAAAGTTACTTACATTCTTGATCACAAATGGAATGCCTTTCCTTGGGTTGGAGGGTGTGAGGGAACACTGTGTTTGAAACTGCAGATAACTGTTGCAGTTAAGGTAAACACTGCAGGACTAAATTTACCTTTGGCTCAGCCTGTGCAAGGTAAATTTTTAAAATTGGTTTGCTACTAGTCTTCTGTTAAATACCATTCCCTTTACAGTTCCTGCTTTGTGCTCTATTTTTATCCTTCCAACAGCATCTTACTTTTCGGCCTGGCATTTTTCTAGGTTTCATTTGTCTTCATACCACGCTCCTTTTAGCAAAGAATGAGCAAAGCCATAGCCTGTTCATATAACCCAAGCAAACTTAGTTTGTTCTGAACAACTATGCCATATAGTACACCATGGTTAGATTCTGTGGAAGAGAGAGAATCTCACCTTGAGAGAAAGTTATTTTCCAATCCTAAATGTCTTGGCCAGTCCACTAGTTTTGAAGATGGCTAACACCAACATTGAAGTTAAGTGGCAGCAAGATATAAAACAAACGAAGTATATCGTTTCACACTTAAACTAAATTTGAGTATTGATTTATTAAAAAAAAATAGAAGGCAATCTTGCTGCATTTATGGCCCCCCTCGCATTGTCTGTGGGACCACAGGATTATTTGAACCTGTGCCAGCTACCTCTCTGATATTGGAAATCAGCCCTGGACTGGGCTAAAAGGGATGTGCCAAGGAGGGAAATGGGCTGGGGCCTATGGCTTCAGCCATATCCAAATACTGCACCAGTCTCTTTTCGGTTCCTTTCTTGGCAGGTCATCTAGATGGCTGAAAACAGTTGTCTGGATGAAATGGGGAGTACGAAGCTCAGGGCAGCAGAGGCCACCACACGCCCTGCCCTGCAGTGAGGGCATGTAGGCCTCGCCTCCAGAGTGTTATGTCACTGAGGGCAGAGGGCTCTTGGTCACACTCTGAAAGAATCGGGGTTATATGCCACGGCATGCTTTGGTGGCACAGAATAATGAGACATGACAGCTGATCACATAGTGGAATAAAATGCCAAGGTCACATTGTTTGCTAAAGAGATCAACAAATTCTCTGTATTCTTTTAAGCATTATAGCCATGTCTTTAACAAATCATTTAAAGCTGTTGTTTCATGCCCTGTACTTGGGACTAAGTCTTTTTTAAATCGTTGAACTTACTTTCCAGTCTGTCATGTAAAGCAAAGCTTGTATGGCTCATAAGCATCTATGCACAATATGTACTGGGGAATACTACTTTAGCTTTGTGCGTCATTCCATCTAGATGACTCTCCAAATAGTACCTCTTTATGTATATTTTCCTGCTTTTGGATTAATGAACTTTTCACTGTTTTTTAAAATGAAAGCATATCTTGAATCTGAAGATGCCTTTTGTTTCTTGTCTAGGATCCTTCAATGGCTCCTTATCTACCTTGCATGCCCATGAGCTGGCATCCATTGCCATTAAGGAGTCTTTGCAGAGGGCAAAAATCAACCCGAAAGAAGTGTCTGAGGTTATAATTGGACATGTCTTGGCTGCAGGTAAGTCTTCAGTTGACAATTGTGTCTGACTTGAACCTGGACTCTGCTTACAACCTCTTCTCCAGAAGACAAAGGATGCATTTTTGTCCTGAATCATAGCTCTTTATCTTCCCTAACATATCTTCTCTTACCCTGTTTATAAAGAGTTGCCACCCTGAAAATCTGTTTTGACACCTGTTAATACCCCTGGCAGCAGCCTTCTCCTGCCTGCCTTTTCCCCAGTCCTGTTATCTACCATCTCTACCACCCACTGGACAAATGGATGTGTGCCACCCACTGGGAAGAGATGGGTACCAGGCCTCGGTAAGGAACAGGATGGAGAAGAAGGACTCTTCTTCCCTGCAGCACCAGGGATAGAAAAGCTGTCAGGGTGTGCTGGATTGCAACATGGCAGCCCTACCTCTAAGTTTTATGAATTCGCCCATTATCTTGTCAGATTTCCCAGGAGCACAGGAACATTGGAAGCTGCCTTATACTGATCCATCTGGTCCATCTGGTTCAATCCTGTCAACACTGACTGACTGTCAATGGCTCTTCAGAGTTTCAGGCAGGCATCTTCTGAGCCCTGCTTAGAGATGCTGGGGATGGAACCTGGAGCTTTCCACATGCAAGGCTGGTGCTCTGCTGGTGCTATGCACCCACCCTAAACTCTGACTATAATTTGGATTTTACTAGAAAACTTCCTTGGCTGTTTCTTTGGCTTTACAACCACTTGCAGAAAAAAGGGTTTTTTAACTGTTAAAAAAGGTGTAGCTTGTTAAACATGTATTACTTGCATATGGTAGAGGATGTGCTCATCCTTAAATGTGGTGGGGAGCCACATTTAAAGAAAGGAACATTAACTCTATGGAGAAGTTCAGGTGCCACCACTGAAGAATGACTGAATTGTAATAACTGACAATGTTAACTTCAGGTGGTGATGTCAACCAAAGTATCATCAACTTGACTTGAAGGATGGTGTGATAAATATGAGAGAAGATGCTTCCTAAGGAATAATTGCTTAGTAAGAACAGACTTCCTTATCATGAAAGTCTAGGCTATAGACTATAGTCATTAGCGCCCTGCTGCCCTCTGTTACCACCACTTTTTCAACTGCAAGAAAAGGTTGGAACACTGTTTCCTCTTGGAGCCATCCTTGCATGCTAGCCAAACTTCCCCCAGTCCAGTGTCCTCCAGGTGTTTTAGATTTCATGTCTCATCAGCCCCAACCAGAATGCCCAATGATCAGGAATTCTAGAAGTGGTTCTTGAAAACATACAGAGGCACCAAGTTGGGGAAGCTGTGCTAGATCCATTCTACCTCATCCAATGAATCATCAAAACATATTCCTTAGTTTCTTTTACTCCTGAGTTTCCAGTCTAATCCCACCCATTCAATCTTGCTGCTCTGTACTGGTCTTCCCTCAAGATTGTGCCCTGCAGATGTCTTGGACTGCAACCTCTATTATTCCTAGTCTGCATGTACTGGCTGGGGATGCTGAAACTTGTAGTCCAAGCAACATCTGCAAGGCACCAGGTTGGGCAAGGCAAAATTCACAGCTTGTTGAGTCGTTCACTTCTGCAGTCTTGGCCTACTTACACCCATCCTTCAATAGATAGTTGTTCATTGATAAACTTTGGGATGGGCTAGGCTGAGAAGGTGACCACAGAATGAAAGTTCCTTTGGGGCTCAAGTTGCAAAATCTAGTTTACTTCACTGAAAGCAACATTTCATGGTAAACAATGCACCTTCCTTTCTGGGTAGATATGCAAGTGGAAGAAATGATCAAAAAGCAAGCTAATGTTTTGTTTTGACAAATGCAAAGAGTCCCATATTTTATTTATATGGTGTATTAGGAAATCTAACCCAGAAGTTGCTTTATCTAATGAATTTATAATCCACTTTTTAAGCTAAAGCCTTCACAAAGCAGATTACAACATGTTTTAAAATTCAAAATAAATCTTCAAACCATTATTGCCTTGTTTAACTATTTCTGCCAGCCACTATGATAGTACTTTTTGGCTGAGAAATGAAATAAAAATACTATAAATAACCCAACAAATATTCAACTTCATTAAAATAACAAGTGAGGCAGTAGCAGCTGATGTACCATGCTTTCAGCAGAGATTCTAACAAAATTAATGAAATGAAGTCTAGAATAAATAAGGTTTTAGTTTTATGGACATGAGCACAAGCCTCTGAACTCATGCTAATTCAATGCAGAGTGGGATAAGTGGTGATGGTAAACTTTGCCTTGTTACTCCTGCAGCTCTGGGTTTTTGTCCCTGGCCTTATAGTAAAGGCATCTCAAAGAGGGAAGAAAAGAGGTTGGAGCTGTGTCAGGATACCTCAACTTCTTGGCAGCTCCAATCTTCTTCCTTCCCTTTCTAAGACCATTCCAGTGGGTTTTCTGATCTCAGAAAGAAGTTGGGGTAGTTCTTCGTTCACTGGCTGTGAGGGTAAGGGAGGGCCTGAGCTCTAATTCTGCTTCAAGCTCATAGTCCCATCTCCAGCTTGGAGCTGGGAATCTGAAATACCCTGTGACCCCTTCAACAGGGTATAGGGGCTATATGATTGTTCCCTCCAAAATCTTCCCAAGGGCTGGCAAAAAAGGAGCTATCCACTCCCTAGCTGGGAATGATATTCTGAAGATGTGGAGGCACCATGGGAAAGACTCTGTTCTTGATAATTGCCAATGTCGCAGTGCCTACTGGTAGACTTAGGTTTATCTTAACACTTGGGCAGGGTCCCAAATAACCTGGTCCCACATTGGTTAGGGAAGAGAGAAAAATATATTATACATCCTCTGACTTTGGTGCATCTCTGCAGGTGCTGGTCAGAATCCTGCTCGGCAAGCCAGCGTCGGTGCAGGCATTCCATATGAGGTACCGGCTTGGAGCTGCCAAATGATATGTGGTTCAGGCCTGAAAGCAGTGTGTCTAGGGGCTCAGTCCATCCTGACGGGTGATTCCAGTATTGTGGTGGCCGGAGGCATGGAAAGCATGAGCAAGGTGAGCATGTGGTTGGTCAGTAATGGTCACTTGAGCCCTCAGTCCTACATTTTTAAGAAGCTTGTGGCAAGTTCTTCTTCTGCAAGCTCATTTGAAGTGAGAGAGGTTTAGAAACACTACAAACCCTATAAAACCCACAACCAAGACTAGAGCAGGATGAAGGTGTGCACCATGAGTAACAATAATTCAGCCAGCTTTACTTCCGAGAAATTAAAACAACAGGCTATTATATATTTCCGTCCCTAAAGTAAAATACTAGACCATTGTCTGCCTGTTAAAAACATTGACTGACAGCCAACTATATTAACTAGCCAAGAATCCTCCCTTTGCTGTGAAGGAGGAGAACGCAGGCAACTAAGGTCATTGGAAGCTGCCTTACTCCACATTGGCCAGAAAAGACTCTCCAGGGCTACAGGCAGGATTCTTTCCCAGCCCTCCTGGAGATACCAGGGATTGAACTGGGGACCTTCTGATTGCAAAGCAGATACTGTGCCATTGAGCCACAGCTCCTCTTCCTGCCAGGTCAGACTACTTGTCCATGTAAACTACTGTGGTTGGCACTAGCTCTCTGGGGTGTCTGGGGCAGATCTTTTAGATCTTTTCCCTGATAGAACCTTCTGCATGCAAAATAGGTAATTTACCACAAAGTGATGATTTTCTTCTCTCTCCTGGAATTGATTATGGAAATCCTGATAAATGGAAGTGCCATTCAGTAAATAAGGCTGGGATGGGGAATGTATGGCCCTTCAGAGGTTGGACCTCAACTTCCATTGTCCATGATTGGCTTCCTAACAATGTTTTAGATTTTTATGGAGCGGTTAGTGGTATAGCGGTTAGTGTTTTGGCGTAGGACTCAGGAGATAACTGTTTCTAAACCTCATTCAAATATGGTGCTCCCTGGGTGATTTTGGGCCAGTCACCAACTCTCAGTTTAACCCATCTCCCAGAGCTGTTACAAGAGGAGGACCACACGAGCCATCTTAAGTTCCTTGTAAGAGGTGCAAACATGGTGGGATGTAACTGTAGTAAAATAAAGACATGGGTCAAAATGGTTTGCTTGTAGGCGCCACACATCATTCATATGCGCAGTGGTGTGAAGATGGGGGAAGCCTCTTTGCAGGATACGCTTATCTTGGATGGGTTGACGGATGCCTTTTACCATTACCACATGGGTATAACTGGTAAGTGACACGATTCTTGAAACTGGTATCTTCCAGTGGGCTTGGTGGAAAGACAGTAAATGTTCTTAAAATGTTCCCTTTCATTTATAACCTTCGGGTTCAATCTTATGCATGTTTAGACTGAACAAGTCCTACAAATCTCTGTGTTGCCCAACTAGCCAAGCAGTATAATAGTCTCATAAGTAAGCACTGAACGTCAATGATGAAATCATCCGGACAATCAGTTGCTGAGTTCTCAGAGTAATTGATAGCACTACTTTGCATGGTGTAGTATACAGTAATGGTTGTTTATTTTTGTTACATTTTCCCTGTTTCAGCTGAAAATGTGGCCAAGCAATGGCAGGTTAGCAGAGAGGAGCAAGACCAAGTGGCTGTGAAGTCACAGAACAAGGCTGAGCATGCCCAGAAGGCTGGCTATTTTGATAAAGAGATTGTACCTGTCCATGTGCCATCCCGGAAAGGTAGAAGAGTGTGTGTGTGTGTGTACACAACAATAACTGTAGTGGTGGATATGAAGCTGATGAATGGTACAGAGACCCAAGGGTCTATTTTTCACTTCTCTAGCTTCTCCCTTAAGCTAGACTCTGGGTGGTATAGTGATTACAGTGTCCAACTGGGACTCTAGAGATCTGGATTCTAGTCCCCATTCAGCTCTGAAGGCTACAGGGTAACACTGGGCCAGACAGTGACTCTTACCCTAACTTAAACTGGAGAGAAGAGGGATTATTCCAGGGGTTTGTTCCAGGAAAAAGGCACGATTTAAGTATAATGAAGTCATGGCCTCTTCTGTAAGAATTGTGTCTTACAGAGATTTGGCTCTATACTCTTATTTGGGTGTCTATAATTGAACAGTGAGTTGTGGTGCACCTTCTAAACCTTTATTGACTTGAAGCATAGTGTATTCACTTGAAAAATAAATCATTTGTTTGGCACATAAATCGAACCCTTGCATAGAAAGCTTCTCCTTGATGTCAAGTCTAAAATGTCATCTACTGAAATATGTGCTGTTTTGCAGGTCCTGTGGAAGTTAAATCTGATGAGCATCCACGGCATGGCAGCAACCTAGAAACGATGGCCAAGCTAAAGCCTTACTTTGTAACGGATGGGACAGGAACAGTGACCGTAGCAAATGCCTCAGGTTTGTTTATGGATCCCTTGAAACAGACGTCGTTGTGCATTAAGCAGTTTGAGTTGCATAGCATGGTACCATCATACAGTATGGTGCAATATTAGGTGAATGCAACATGGGCACACTTGAGTTGTATATAGTATTTCTATAGGCCAGAACTACTGTGCTGCTTTCTTCAGGTATAAACGATGGTGCTGCAGCTGTTGTTCTCATGAGGAAAGCCGAAGCTGTTCAACGAGGCCTTACTCCTTTGGCTCGGATTGTATCTTGGGCTCAAGCCGGTGTAGATCCTTCTGTAATGGGAATAGCACCTGTGCCAGCAATAAGGAAAGCTGTAAGTAATCTATTCAGGAAGGACAGATGATGCCTTCAGAAACATGAATAAACCCTGAAGAGCAATGTTTTCAACATGGGCATTGGGTGACGCACAATCCCTTTGCCAATAGAAGGTGGTTCAGTAATGTGCTGGCTCTTCACCAAATCCAGATCTTAGTTTTATTACCCCTGTTGTGCTTTGCATTGGTGAGAAGCAGAAAGCTGGATGTCTTGCTTGTATGTGAACATGGAAAACACAGGGATTGTTTAGCACTCACATTGAACGGTGGGAGTGTTCTATAGTCATAGGAAAGACCAGAGGAAATACTGGCTTATACCAATTCATGTGCAGTACACTGACTACCAGTGGTTCTCTAGGTTTCAGCAGGACTTCCTGCCCTGCTCAACTTGGAATGCCTGGACATTCTGCATACAGAGCAGATACTTGACTGCTGAGTTGCAAATTGGATTGCTTTATTATACTTATTTAACAAGGCAAATGCAAACTAGTCTGTTAGTAAGGCAACCGATGGTTTCCTGCAACTGAGTGGGAGGGCGTTGGAGAACACACAGCACCATGCCATGATTTGGCACTGGCTCAGAACTAAGCCTCAGACTGGTGCTTCAAAAGAGCAGTTGTCAAACATTAAGGCTCTGCTCTGAGGGTTGTTTGTATGATTTGTTAACATTCATTAACAAAATGAATGTTACGTTCAAAACTACACAGTGTTCACTCTTGCAGAATGTTTGCTGGAGGTTTTGAGAATAGGGTTAAGGCAGGATTGCATTTTTAGGATCTTAACTGATTGTCCAGAGCAGTGCAGCATCTTTTAGTCCTGGCACTTGTAATCTATTACTTGACTTCAGAAACCTTAAGGTTCAAAGCATCAGCTGGTCCTCTAAGAGTTTTGTGCTTGTTTACAATGTTAATTTTATTTTTGATTTTCTGTAGATTCAAAGAGCAGATTGGACGACAGATCAAGTGGACTTGTATGAAATTAATGAAGCTTATGCTTCTGTAGGTGCTGCAATAATAAAAGAGCTTAAATTGAACCCAGAAAAGGTATGTCCTCAGCATTCAATATCCTAAGATACTGGAAATTTTTAGCCTAATTGGATAGGCGAATTAATTAAAAACTTTTCTATCCTGTCCCCTACAAAACATTTTGGGACAGCTTAATAAGTAGAATAAAATTTTGCATATTAGTAGAAAGGTTTATTTCTCAGTACAGAGTACAGAAATGTGGTGAGCTGCTTATCGAAGGAAAAAAAGATAATCTTCTCTAAAACCCACTGCAGGGCTGGGCAGGAAAAGCTGCCAGCTGGATGGGAAGCTGGCATGGACTGCATTCCTCCCTCTTGCTATTCCTATTGAGCCATCATGCAGAACATGATCCACAGCTATAGCACAAAAGTGGTAGCGGAACAAGCTGTGAACTTGATTTAACTGCATTTTGCCTGGTTCTATGACTGATTTTACATTTAACACAACCATCCTATTTCTGTGGCAGGTTAACATTGAAGGTGGGGCTGTTGCCCTTGGTCATCCTCTTGGAGCATCTGGTTGTCGAATCCTTGTTACTTTGCTTTATGCACTAGAACGAACAGGTGGAAAACGGGGGGTTGCTGCTTTGTGTGTAGGAGGAGGACTGGGCATAGCAATGTGTGTCGAAAGATAAAATGTTTCTGTACTATTCTCTCATGACTTATCTTTATTAATAAAGTCGGTTTGTGAATTTTAATTCAGGTGTTTACAGGAACAGCAGTTAAACACATACAGCAAAATCTACCTTCCCAGTACCTCTCCAAACACTTTCAGGCATCAGTTGGGTTATATCAGAGGTTTTTTTAAGTAGTAGCTCCTTCTCCCCATATAAATTGGACTTGGCTTCTGCTACTCTAAATTTATCTGACCAGGGCAATATCTGTAATTCCCCTAGTACCTGACCTTAAGGTGGATTCTGTTGTTACAAGTGATCAAGTTTTATTTAAGGCCAGTAATCAGCTAGTGTGATCATACCCACATTTCTGCCAGAGGCAGAATATTCTTACAAGGATATAGCTGGTTTCTCACTCCATGGTAAACACTGGGGAGGGTCCAAGGCAGGATGTAACTCATTGCACTCTCTCACCACCACGGGCCTTATCTTTATTAGTATACATTAGGTGACACTGAATGTAGACATAATCACTCCATTCTCTTAGTATTTCTTGCTGTATTACTACTCAAGATGATCACCAGAATTGGGTTTATGATCACACCTAGCTGTCTGAACCCTCAAAGGCATTCTTCAATCTTTTAACTTTATTAGAATACTGAAAACAAAATGTGGTCCTTTTCCATTTATTTTCTAGTCAAGCAGGAATCAGTATGATTTTATGAGCATACAGTAGTAAATACAGGATTAGGGGAAATGTTATATGTATTGTTAAATAAAACCCATTTAATCTTCAATTGCTCCAGAATGAACTGCATCTTCATAGCATCCTCCTTTATCAGCTTTACTTTCAGGTTGCAGCTTAATCAGGTCATCAATACGAAGAATAGTAATTGCAGCTTCTGTTGCAAACTTCAAACTCTTTGTTTTGACTATAGTAGGCTCATATACACCAGCTTGCTTGTTGTCACGTGGCTTCCCATTGATTAAATCAAGGCCAATCCTTTAAAAACAACAGTGTATTTCAATTGCTATTTTAAACCATATTTTGAGCACTAAAGACTAGCCCTGTAAAAATGACCCACTTCAAACCTGGATACAAAGCACAAAAACTTCTAGATCCTTTCATCTCCATTTTATCACAAGACCCAGTACATAACCCACCCCCTGCTTATTTCAAAACAAACAAAAACAACATGTAGTGCAGTAAGTACTCAATATTTCAAGAGTTACTACCCACTGATTTTCCCACCAATCCTTTCCAGTCTTTTTTCCCATATAAACCTACCATTTCAGATTTTTGCGGTCTGGATTCACTTGAGCTTCATTGTGAAATGCCCGGAGTTTAGCAACAAGATCTATGGCATCTTGAGCAGCATTGACTGCTAAAGTATTTGGAATAACTAGGAGAGATCTTGCAAACTCTGCAATAGCAAGCTGTTCACGTGATCCCTAATTAAAGGAAGATTCCATTAACATTTCTGAAGTTTAAAGTTAGCACCGCATTACAAAATACCAGTATTTTTTATAACACTAGAGTCTGATTTAATAGGAAAGATTACAGTAAAGTTTATTCTGATGGGTATATATGCAGATCTGGTCCACATGTCACAGCCAATTCCGGGACTGTTTACTCAGGAATTAAAGCAGCTGTGTAGAAGCAAGCGTGCAGGTTTGCCACTTCCATTTTCTCAAACAATGCAGGAATCTCCACTCCTGATTTGTTAGTGCTATCTCCAAACACAGAACTCCAGATTATTTAGGAACTGAACATCCCAAAGAAATCCAAACAACTGCCCATAACTACCTGGGGTTTATTCAACCTCTAAGCAGTGCTGAGTTCTGGGTTCAAACATTTCAACAACCCAGAATCAGGGCTAGTTAAAAGTGCAATGATGGTTGCCCAGGAGGAGCATGGTTGAAAATTCCCATTCAGCCATTCCAATTTCTAGGTTAACTTAAGAAATTGCTATGATGTGTGAACCAGTCCATGCTTAGGAGAAAACATTTTCAAGCCAGATAAGCACATTATGGTAGCCCTCAAGAATTGGCAAAACAGATTAGAATAAACTTCATGAACAGAAACAATGTTAAACATTAACTAATCACTTACCATGCTAGTTGCATAATTTTCTAGGTAAATGGACAGTGCAGCCTCAACTGCACCACCACCAGGGACCACAGACTTAGACTCTAACACTCTTTTGACAACAGAAAGGGCATCATGCAAGGATCGCTCCATTTCATCACACATGAAGTCATTTGCTCCTCGTAATATAATGGCCGCTGATGTCCGTGCCTTAGTACTGTTTCAGAAAGATAAATAAATGATAGCTGGTTCCTCCTGAAATATTTCTCAATCACTCAGTCCCCATCTAAAGCCAGTTAGCTGTATGTGTATATATGTACAGAGGGGCGTTACTGGATATTCATTATATAACTAACAACAATTGAATTGTGTCCAAGTCCATCAATATGCCTGAGATATGTAGTGTCTCAACAGGTCACTTACAGGACTAAGGATAATATATCCCACGCGTATAACTGCTCACACTACTTAAAGACAGCATGGCAGCAATTAAATGGGAAAATTTCAAAAGATATAGCAAGCACTTTATATATCACAGAAGGTTCCTTACTTCTTGATTAAGATTAATTCATCATCGCAAATTCTTTCCTGAACTACCTCTTCTGCTTGACCCAGCATTGATGCTTCAAAAGTTTCTTCACCTTCCAGATTTGCCAGGGTAGGACAAACAGTAGCTTAAAGAAAACACAAGTGTTTTAACAAGTTTCATAAATCTACCCCTTCTCATTACACCAAGCAACTGTAAAACCATTCTGATTTTGTTTGTCCAGCAAATATCAGTGTTATTACTGTTCTCTAAATTTAACACTTCTGTCAACAGGATAAGCAAGATACGGGATCAGGTTTTAGCAGGAAAAGATTCTGTAATTACCTCCAGAAGCCTTAGCAATGCGTTTAAGGTCTCTTTTCAGAACTCTGCGTACAGCCATGGCACCAGCATCCCCAAAGTATTTCAGACACATATCATCAATGCCACCGGTGGTCAGAATAACATTTGCACCTGTAGCCAGAATCTTCTGAATTTTCTCTTTAGTGATGTCAGCCTCTCTGCATGAGACAGCAGGCATGGATTCAATAGAAAACTCAATTCTGAATTTACTGGTAAAGCTATGTATCTGAATCATTCTTTTTGGAAAAGTCTTACAGGGTGGAACACTAGCTCTGATTTAATGCATGTCCTATTCCCACCCAAATGACAAGAATTATATTCATAGATATTTCATACAAAATGCTACAGTTAAAATTTGTGAGGGTATCAATATGTATCCCACCCTACTCAGTTCAAAGGAACAAGAATATAATAAAAACAAATAATAGAAACAATAATTTTCCAAGAATTATTTGGAAATCCTTTAAGGGATCCACAGTGTAAGTATGGTGAAAGTAATCATGGAAAAACTCTACAGAAAGATTTTTGGCTATTATTGGTCTTAGTGCAACCACAAGAAGGGGTTCTATGTTTTGCATTCAAATCACACAAAGCAATGGATAAAAACCAATACGCCTTGTCAAAGCCCGACATGAAGTAGTATGTGTCATAATGACCCAGGGCCCTTTAAAATAACATATAGATGGAGGTTTCTTATGAGATAAATTGCTAAGAAAAGGGTTCCCTGGAAGCAAAAAGTCAAATGCTGCAATGCTAGATGAGCCTCCTGTTTTCCTAAATACTAGCCCAGGTCAAATCATGATATATTTCCAAACAATCCGTAGCCATGAATGTTCAACAGAGCACCTCAGAATTACTTAGCTTTGGCAACAAACCCACCTCTTCTCACCTTATTTTTGCTTTCACCTGTTGCATATAGCTTTCTGTCAACTGCCCCTGGGAAAGAGATCAGCCCTTCTCTCCTGCAGAGGAAAGGGATATGCCCTCATTGCCAGATTTAATTAGATCCTTCCTTTCAAAGTTGTGATTAGAGGAAGGGACAAAGGTAGACTGACTTGTATCTCTCCCAAGTTAGCAATAAGAGACACACTTAGAAGTAAAACTTGAACTGAGCTGTCTTCTATAGCTAAGCAAATATACAATTTGGAAAAGGCAGCCATATTTCTTATGAATCCACACATAACTATGGTCCTTTTTAACATGCTTCAATACCCAAATAAAATGACAAGTTCTTAGACTCATTAATTTTATGCAGGTCTGCTACAACTGTCTGAAATCAATGCATTCTATAATTTTAGTTCAAAAGACTCCCTAAAGCATACCTTTGCCTAATCTGGTCCAGTTTCTCTGGGTCTGTGACCACCACCTGAACACCAAGTTTCATTTTAGTCTTTTGTAAGCTGAAGTCAAGACATGCAATCTTTGCATTAACTATCCTCTTGGGCATACCTAAACAAAACACAGATAAAAATCACACCTCAGATTCTTTAACAACATCTGAAAAATGCAAAGTATTTCAAATCAATACCTGTGCTATTATTTCCTCTAACCAAGTTATTCACTAGTGATTTCTTTTCTTAAATTCTGCTTATATGCCCCAGTCCATTTAGAGGCTTCAACAAAAAAGACTGTCTTAACCTGGTGCCAAAAGGATGACAGGTTTGGAGCCAGGCAGGCCATAGCAGGGAGGATGTTGCATGGGTGGGGTGCCACCCTAGAGAAAGCCCTCCCCTTTACTGCTACCCTCCAATTTCCCTCCTAATTGGCATTTGGAGGAAGGCCCCAGAGGTTAAGGAGAGTGCCTGCACAGATCATGGTTAGGAGAGGTGCTCCAACAGGCACTGGCATGTAAGGCTTTATAGGTTAAAACCAACACCTTGGATTAGGCCTGGAAGCATACAGATAGCCAGTGCAAGAGGGCCTGAACTGGTCTCATATGTTTGGACCTATGGGTCTTGCTTATTAATCTGACTGCTGCATTCTGCACAAGCCTGAACTATCTTCAAGGGCAGCCCTATGTGGACTGCATTGCAGTAATGTGATTTAGGAGATTACCAGAATGCAGATTAGTGAAACTAGGTTGTCCCTGTCCAGATAGGGGTACAGGTGGGCCACCAGCTGAAGCTGGTAGAAGCCACAGATGCCACTGAGCCCTGAGTGACAAAGATGGCTGAAGGAGCATGCCCAAGCTACAAACCTGCTCCTTCCAAGGAGTGCAAGACCATCTGCTCAAAGGAGCCTCCCACTAAAAGCATCTTGTTTGGACTGAGCTTCAGTTTGTTAGCGCTCAGCCAGTCCATTGTCAGAACCAGACACCAATTTAGCACATCCATACAAAGCTTTGTTCAATAAGACTGAACTCACCTTGGGAACCCACAACACAGTTCAATGCATAGCCATTTATAAGAATGCTTTCCTTCTGACTGCGTCCATGTGCCTTCAAAACATTAATGGAGTTGATGGGATAACGGGCTTGCCCCTTCTGATCAGTGTATTTAACTGCAAGTGCAGCATCCACTACCATGTTGGCAAAAAAGTCACTGTCACTATAACCACACTGTTAAGGTGAATATAAGCAGGAACATGTCTGCATGCATCTCATTAAAATAACATTACAAATCTTTGGAAGAGGGCTTTGTAATAGAAAAGTCTAATGTTTTTTACCCATGACCATTCCCTGAAAAGACATTCATTGTACTAGGAATTAACCATCTGTTATGCATTTCCCCATATTTCCAAAATGCAATACACAAAACTTAATATTCAATGGAAACTTTATCACCATAAACGGAAAGGATACATTCCTATGATTTTGGAAGACATTGATGTTTTAGCTGCATTAATAAGGCAATCTCTGCCCAGTTCATCTGAGTTAATAACCAAATTCTCATTGATGTAACGAACTGCCTCCCTGTTGAACAGAAAATATACCTTATTGGGATAGTAGAATTTACTTTGCAATACTCTCAATGCTGTGTGTATTTACAGACCTTATTTTAATCATATGTTAAGTATTTCATATTCTTGCGGCATAAAAGTAGAACAATAATTGTTATTATTTAAATTACATGCTACCTCCAAATAACAAATTGACATCCAAAGTGCTACACTGTCAGTGATCCTGAATCCCTGAATTTGGAAGACTTTCAATCATTGTGGGCAGAGCAGAAGGCACATCAGAGGCAATATCCACCTCCTTGAACTCCCTTACCTCATGTATTTGCTAGGTGGGCCCTTTTGCCTATGTGAGGCACTTCAGAGGGACAGGAAAGCAGGCTAGAGAGGTCTCAGGATAACTTGCATCCTGGCTTCTCCAGTATTTTCTTCTCCCTGCCCATTAAAATGCTATTTTCCCCTTCTTTGAGGTTACTTTCCTGACCTCAGAGGGCAGCCAGTGTGGTCCATTCTGTGCCAAGAAGGATGCAATCAGATATTTGATTTCCTGCTGTCATCTGTTCTCAGATCAGTGAATCCAAACTATTCAGTTCACTGCCCTACATTTTGCATCTTAAATTCATGAAACGGTATTAGGAAAGTCTTACGCTGCTTGTCAGTACAAATACTGCTGTTAAAAAGACGTCTTACTTGCAAGCAAGACGATATCCACTAATGACAGAAGTGGGATGAATTTTCTGTTTAACCAACTCATCTGCATTCTTCAAAAGCTCTGCAGCAAGAATTACCTGTTAGAAAGAAAAGATATATGATCTAATACTATATAAGTTATTCTGTGATAAAATTGCAGCATGTTCATGGCATAAATGTAATGAGAACAGAAAGCAGATTGAGTCTGCCCACACTGTTCCAGGATCTTAAACAGTGAAGAACAAGATATGGCTTTGGAGAAAATCAGGCAAATAACTGCCTGATTGACCAAACTGAGTGACCAGACTAAGCCAACCGTGGGGGCTCCACCCAACAAAAGGGGGAAAGAACCACCAAGCGAACAGAAACTCTATAATGCAAAAAACACTAAACTACCTTAGTAGTGGGTGGGGAAGCCACCCTACTTATATCTCCTCAATGATATTGCTACTGCCAGTAAGCACAGAAATACCTTCCATCCATGGAAAAGGAAGACACCACAGTAAGACTTTCCCCCTTTTTAGTTGAGGAATTTAACTTTGCATAAGCTGTCCAAATGCAGTTTTATTCTTGAATAGACTATTCAAGGTAAGTAGGGGAGAATTCTTAAGGTTTGTATTATATATTGGCATATCCATTCACTGTAAAAAGCCTCAGAAGAAGCAAACCTCTCCATATTGTAGTGTCTAACACAGAGACACCCAGTTGCTGTCAAGATGTTCTCAAGAAAGGTGTTGGTGCATAGACTGCTGATACCTTCTCTCTACTGAAGGAAAAACAAACCCAGCAGACCTCCAACAGTGAAGAAAAGTTGACCTTCCCACCACACTAGTACTAACAACTTTCTTCAAAAAGGTTATATAGTTTATTTTCAGGTCCATTTAACAACCCTGATCAACACCAATAACCCTATTTGTCTTCCAGCCTGGTTTTGGTCTAATTCTAACATCAAATGGTAATGATGCAACAGAATTAGAATATGGATATGGAATATGGGTAGGCTCTAACAGGCTTTCAGGGATAAGAGTATTTGGGGTAGGTGGCTCAGGAGATGCTTCTTGCTGTGAAAAGAGCAGCTACTGGGCTGACGCCCTAAATGATTTGTTGGACCTGTTGCTGCAGAAGACACCACTCTTAACAAGTGGAGATTGCTTTTCCAAATAAATCCTAGCTGGTACCACTGATTGCTAACAGAGCAGTGGCCTCATTTTAGTTTTCCCTGTCTGCCAGAAAGGAACATAAGTTCCCCATATTGTTACGTCCACCTGTTTTCTTCTGGTGGCTATTACTAAAGCAGTGGATTGGGAAGAGAAAGGTCCTCTTCTGTGCCTGTATGAAAATTTGACCACTCTGTGTCTGGGCGTTGTTCTCATATAACCCCAGTTCTCCATCAGCTCCACTGGCTTCTGATTGAAGTCCGGGCCCAATTCAAGGTGTTGGTTATGACCTATAAAGCCCTCAACGGCTTGGGCCCTGGGTATCTAAAGAAACACTTGCGTCCATATATGCCCTCCCGCCCCTTGAGATCAGCAACAGATGCCCTTCTCCGGGAACCCTCTGTGAATGATATTAGGAGGGTGAGTACCCGGAGGAGGGCTTTCTCTGCGGTAGCACCCCACCTATAGAATGCGCTCCCCGGAGAGGTCCGCCTGGCGCCGTTGTTATTTGTTTTTCAGCGCCACGCTAAGACCTTTTTATTTAAAACTTATTTTAAGTGTTAATTTATTATTTAGGATTTTAAAAAAATTTTAAGCCGAGATGCACCGGGTTTTAATAATTTTAGTGTATAAATTTTTGTATGATTTTGTTTGTTTTTGTTGTGAGCCGCCCCGAGGCTTTGGTGCGATGGGGGCGGCATAGAAATGTTTTAAATAAATAAATAAATAAATAAAGTTATTGTGCACCAATAAGAAAAGGCATATTTCAGAGTAAAGGAAAGAATACACAGGTGTGTGTGAAATACAAATGCAGATTTGCCAATTCAGTCCTGAAAGCATCATTCTTCCTTCTTACCCGTAAATTACTCCATCCGTGAGGTGCACCCTCCCCTTACAGCGTATCAATTTGCCTACTCCAAGTACATCAACTTGGCAGAAATTATTGCACTTTCAAACAGAAAAGTGTTAACAGCATTGCTTCTTTGAATCTAGGCTACAAACTTGCTAAACTGTGTAAATACAGTGGTACCTCAGTTCTTGAACTTAATCCATTCCAGGACTTTGGTCATGAGCCAAGTCAAATTCCCCCATAAGGTTTAATGTAAATAAGATTAATCTGTTCTGTAAATATTTTTTAAATCACAAAAATTTGAAACAAAGTGATAAAGAAAAAAGTACAGTACAGTAGAGAACACTAACCTAGGTGGGGGGAGGTTATTGTTTGGAGGGAGAGTCCAAACCACAATTGTGCGATAGTGATCATGCTCATGGGGGGGGGGCGGGGGGGAATGGCCACGATCGCTCCCATTTTCCCTGCATAAGCGCGACTGCGGCCATCTCCCCACCTCCCCCAGAGCATGATCGTGCAGGGAAGACAGGCGCAATCACGATCGCCACCCAATGCAGAGTTCATGACCTGGTACAAAATTCTTCTGAAATTTCTGTTCGCGACCCGATTTGGTTGTGAACTGAGGCGCTCGTGAGTCGAGGTACCACTGTAGTATGTTCTGCCATTTCATATAGGAAAAAGATATTGTAAGTCTTCTCCTTCAGACTATGGCAGTCATTTCTTTATCCCATAAGCATAGCCACTTATTTTGTAAAGCAAATAGGTGGTAGTCAAATGGGAAGGGTTCTCCTCCAGTGTAATTAGTAAATTCAAATAATCTTTGGATCTTTTATTTAAATGTTACTTAAATAATATATCAGAGCATCAACATACATACATGCTTAGTTGGAATTCTTGAATTTTAACCACTGACTAAGCTAGTATTAATCCTAGTTATTTGCATTCATCAGATATATAGCTCATACTTCAGTTTTCATTTACACAGGTACAAAATAATTTCACATGAAGTGATAGGCTTTAAAATAATTAGATTGCAAAGCTGGTCTGATTATGATAGTGTAGACAGTAAAATCTTTATAATGCAGTGCACTGGAATCTACATACCACAGATGTGGTCCCATCTCCAACTTCTTTATCTTGCAGTTCAGCTAGTTCACACAGAACTTTTGCAGCAGGATGTTCTACCTCCAGCAACTTCAAAATGGTTGCACCATCATTTGTAATGGTCACATCCTAGTATTTCAAACACACAAAAATTACTCATGCAGCTTAACATTTACTCTGATGAAGAAATAAAACATCTAAATAAAAATACTCAGTAATATTCAATCACTGTCATGCAAGTGACAGCTGCCCCTGATCAAGAATGGATTGCTGATACTACTAAACTAAAACTATTGTTTTTGATTGTACAGATACCCATTTCTTAGTCCTTTGGTGTTTGCTGGCTATTCACACTACTCTTACTTCACTTCAGGAGCCAAGACTGCAATATGTCTGAGAAAACATACAAAAGAAGGGGATTTAAAGATAGTAGGATGTATTTTCTTGGTAGGACAATAACCAAAACTTGTGGGTACTAGGTTACTGCTCATCTCCCAAATGACTCTGCACAACAATACTCCCCAAATGCTCCTGTCACCCTTTCTCATAGGAGATACTGTCAGGGAGAATGCAAGTTTTGGCTGATGTTTGGTGGCAAGGTTCTGAATAAACATCCAACCCTCGTTCCACCTCTTTTTTCTGTAGGAAAGCAAAACGGAAAACATCAACTTTGGCTAATGTTGCTAATACTCAAATCATTGCCATCCAGCCAGCAGCAGTCAACTCCTCTTCTGCTCCAGCGGAGATTGCTAGCATGGCTTTCGTGCAGACATTTTAACCACACAATGGCCAAAGAACCACAGCCTTCTTTTCCTATGTTGGAGGTGGAGGGGGTACAGAAGGAGCAGGGAGAGCTTCACAGAGCTCCACTGGGACTAATCCCTGCCCACCTCTATAGCTTTAAAACTGGAATACAAACAGGCCTATTTGCCATGTAGCAGCACCATGGTCACCATGGTGAGCCAAACGATTGATTTACTGCTCCACTCTTGCCACCTTTTTTTAACTCACCCAAACCTAGAAGGCATTTACACTTATTGCAAAGCTGCTGAGAATGGTTTCTCTTAACATATTTATTTATTCCATCATTGTTTAAATGAAGCCCTTGTTTTGGCAAGAAATATTATTTGATTGGTAAATGGAGTGATTCTATAAGACAGACAAATATCAAATTAAAGGTTTATGAAACTTTTCCTGAAAGTATTCAGGCTACATTTCTATGGACACTTACCTGAGACTGAATCCCCCAAATAGTAGGAGGTGCAACAGAGTATACATGCAAAGGATCAGGCTGTAAAATAGTAACTCTTCACTATACTCATGACTTTAAAATTATCCTTACCAACACAAACCATTTGGATTTATGCACAGGTTGAGCACCTTAAGGAAAATACATAGTTTTCCCCCTTTTGCTTTGTATTAACATATTTCAGTTGGTTGAAGTGAACAATTTCCTATTAGAAACTATGCATAACAAATAATGTGTACTTACACCAATGTCATCCACCAACATTTTATCCAAACCAACTGGACCCAGAGAACTCTTCACGATGTTGGCAATAGAAGCAGCGGCCATAACTATTTCAACAAAACAGAGTTTCCTCAAAAAGGGAGCCAAATTTTTCTTAGAACTATAACTTTACTAACACAGGTTTAAAAATAGATGTATATATTACCATTTAGAGAAAGCAAATACTATTAAGAAAATCAACAGTTAGAAATTAAAGGTTTAACTACATTCTAGTTCAAAGTGCACTCTGGCATGAGTTTAACCAATGGGTGAGTGCGGAAACAAGATTTGTGCAGTTAACCTCTAGTTTAAATCAAGCCCTTTGTGTGTAAGTTCTTGCCCAAATGATCCACTGACCTTTTTCATAATAAACAGATTGCACTACCAGAACTTGTTTGTGTAGCCATTTACTTATGAAGGCCCAGGTCCTATGTGTAATAGGTCCCAAGGTTTCCTGCACTGAAATACGAAGATGCAATTTGAACTGGTCCTACAATTTACTGCTGTCTTTGCAGTATCATATTCCTATATTTAATACAGAAAAAGAATCTTCCTCAAACCATGGCAAACATATATTTATTCCATATTAACAGCATGGTTTAATGTGCAAATCAGTTACAGCAGCATGGGAAGGGCTTCCTATCCAGCCTCCTATGACCTCCATAGTTTAACTATGTGCTGTAAAATGAAATGAGTTTTTTGTAGTCCAGTTTCTAAATTTGTTTAAAAAAATACTTTCCAATCGCGTTTTTCTATAGAAAGGCCTCCAAATTACAAGCGCTACATAAGGAAGCAATATGCCCATCCCCCACCTCACTCTACCATCAACCAACACGAACAACAGACTGAAAAATTCCACCAGGCAGAGAAAGGGTGAATTACTGCAAGGATGCTGTACAGACATTGGGAGCCACAGTTGCAACACAGTATAAGACCAGAGTCTATACTGCTTTGCGTGGTAAATGTGACAGGCTCAGCGAGGAATCACTCGTGCGCTGCTTCTGGTAGGAACCTATAGATCCTCGTCTCTGCTTTTCGCTCCTCACCCACCCCATTGCAAGCTTAAAAGAATTAATATCGAAAACGATTTGACTTCCTCCATCAGCTCGGGACAGTGGAACTCTGCCCATTCTAAACGCCATACTGACAGCACGCGTGCCCGTTAACAGACAGCCATCAACACGTATAGCCGAAAAGCCGCCTGATTTTTACCACGCGCACGCGCACCCAACTGAACCCACGCGCCGGAGGAAGAGGCAGTAAGCCTCCAGGGAGTCAGGGCCTCGCGGTCAAAACGACCGGGAGGCGAGTTGGTTTTTACCATTCTGCGTGCGGACATTCTCGCCGGTGTTCCGCTCTCCCAAGACCGCCAAAGGCCCTTCAAACGCCATCTTTTCCGAACAAAGAGACCGAGGAAGCAACGTGCGCGCTCTTGCGAGCACGGGGTGTGGGGACGAAGCAATGCCTTGTGGGTAGTCCTGCCTCTCAAAATGGCGCCTGTAGAGAGGTCAGGAGCATAGTAAAAGCACTATGGCTTGACCAAGATAGGGAAGCGGGAGATCAGTATGGCAACAGACGTAACGCAAAAGAAAGTTAACCAATCCAAGTGCCGGACGGAAGCTCTACCGATAACGAGTTTATGTCTCTGATGGTGATTGGACCTTGGGCGACGAATGAACTTCTCTGCGCTCTCCTCCACACTCGGTTGCGCAGCAACAAATGGGCTGGGAGAAGCGTTTAAATTTGTTCTGTAAGGTTCTAGAAAACGGCATGGAGCTAGGAAGGGCTCGTGCCTTGGTTGGGTGGAGTGCGGCTGCTGGAACGGGCGGAGAGGGGGTGCTTGGACTGAATAAAAGTGCACTCTGGTCAACTCGACTTCCGGTAGTTCGCCTTTTGTAGGTTAAAAGGTTTTCCTTTTCTGGGTTTGTCACTATTATGGAAAGCTTGTGATATTCGAGCTAACGGGGATATATATATATGGCACCACCCAATAAAGGATCCGGCTCAGTCTGGAACATAGGAAGAGACTGGTGGATATGAATCCTCACTTCTGTTGATTTCGGTCATATCCGTAGAAACAAGAAAAATTAAGAGAGGCATTTCATTGTATAGGCATTTTCTGGTTCTTATGGGAGAGAAGCCGTTTAACTGCGGAGCAGTTCCAATAGCTGCCCTAGAAGTCTGGAGATTTTACTGCCGTTATGATTCGCAGTTTCTTCCCAGATAGAACAGTCTACTTTCTTATTCAGACTTTATTTCGTGTGAAACAGTCACATTTTAGTGGCTCGGCTAGCATTCTATTTTGTTGTTTTTAATCTGTTCGCAAATCGCCTTGGATTTTTGAGAAAGATGACTTAAAATCCACTCAAATGCATGCTCAGAAAAATCTACTCTGGAACCTTTAGGATAGTTACATGATTGCGCTCTAAGAAATTCAATTATTTTTAATAGCATTTAAAAAGTTTTGCCTATGCAAATTACAATGCGAGTAAAACCCGTTATTTAGCAACTAGTGTTCTTGGGTTGTCGAACCAAAATTCTGTGTACAAAATAACGCTTAAAGGTCAAGTGCAGATAGAAATTTGAAAGCACAAGTTGCGGCTTGAAATGCCTGACAATTAAAAGCAAGTATTTTTTCCCCCCACGAAGTAAGGCCGTAGTAAGAATAAACGGGCTCTCTTGCCCTCGCTGCACCGATTTGTTGGATGGGGCATGCATTTTGATATTCAAGCATAGCTACATAAACTAGATTTTTCTGTTTCTAAGAAAGCACTGTTGGAAACGAGGGGGGCCGGCCTCCCGGCCAGCCAGCGTTAGTTCAAAATAAGCTATTCTTTCATTCATTCCTCTTGAAATGCTACTTCATAAGAACGTTCTAGAAAAGAGGAGGGATCACTTGGGACAACCAATTCGAAACAGGCTTATATACTTTGAGACGTGGGGGGGGGGGGCGCTGCCATTTTTTCCTAGGGCGGAAATAAATGTTGCTCCTCCTATGACTTGTATTCGCATGGAAACCGTCGGAAGTTCAGTAGGCAGGTGGAAGGAAGCGCTCTGCCTCCCCTAGTAAAGATGGCGGTACACAGTTTCTTGTAGATATGGTGCTGTCCGTTACTGAATGTCTCGAGTAAAGATGGCTTTGAGGAGATCGATTTTGCAGCTGGGGATCACGGCAAGGGGATTTGGGGGACCTGGTCAAGGTGAGGAGCCCCCAGGTTTTGGGCCTGGGCAGAAAGACGCGGGAAACAAATAACGAAAGAAAAACCGTGCAACTCCCCCACCCCTTCAAATGAGCGAGAGGCGATGCGTGTTTGTGTGTGCGTGCTTGAACAACCCAGTCTTAAATCTATTTCTGTTGAACTTACTTCCCAATAAATCGTTTTAGTAAGGTGACATTTTAGTAGCCCAATCCTAAACATATTTACCATTGCTTTGGAATAAAAACTCAGATGCCAGCCATTAGAACAACTGCTCTTAAAACATTTGGAGAACTAAAAAAAGGTGAATACAGATGCCTATAAAATGCTTTCCTTTTAACAATGCAATCCTATGCATTTTAAAATGTATATGACTGCAGCATGCATACACACAAGGAAGTCACATACCCTTCAACTTTTCCTGAAGAAAATAGGAGTGGTCTGTTTGCACTTGCTGCACTATTTTTGCAAACCTCATTGTGGGAACTGCTTCAGCCTCCCACTATTACACAGTATCGAAGGCTATGCCAATTTGTGTTTAAAAGTTATTTGCAAAGTGTTATCAAATGTTTTTTCATGTTAATGTGGTTTGGATATCCTTCCAGGGGTTAAATCTCACTATTACAGATGCCCCTCCTAGTTATGTGTAGATTTCATCTTAGGTGTATTTTAACTTTTAGACAGTCAGGGAGAGAAATGAAATCTAAAGAACATCAGGTCTTTGGTTGCAAAACTTATACCCACTTGCTGTGGGGTAAGGTTCTATTGAAGTTGATGGAACTTCTCTGACTACATAGATATGTATACAGTTGTGCAAAACAAAACAACATATGTTAGAGGCATCCCCATAATCTCTCCAAAGGACAATGCCCCATCAAATACAGTGTCTGATGAATGAGGGCACTTGGTGTGTATTAAATGTGAACTTGGTAGAAATAACACATTTGGGTCAGACTGTAAATCTGACTAGATTTACAGTATAATCTTACATATATTCAGATAAGGTCCAAAGGTTTCAGTGGAACACAAACTGCTCATACTAAGATGCATCTTGACTGCCAGGATGCCTTTGGAAAGATGTGACAACCATCCTTTATCACCACTGAGCAAGATAAGATTATGTTAAATTTTCATGTGTACATGCAGGAAAATCTCTAGAAAATTGGTCTCTACAGATGAAACTACTGATAGTAATGCTCAATTTTCCTACTTTTTATACTGAAAATTCATCTAGGCATTGGGTTGCTCTCAACATCTAACAATACATGTCAGTAATTTTTCTTTATTCTGCTGCAGTGAGTAGAATTAGTTCTAACATTCCAAGTTCCACACATTCTGTTGAGGACGAAGTGGATACAGCAGAAAATGACATTGTTGCCCCTGATTTCACTAACCGGAATCCACGTAACTTGGAACAGCTGGCTGTAGCAAGGAAAGAACGAGGGTGGCATACTACATGGCCAACACACGAGTATTGGAATAGGTAAGGGATAAAAATAGAAAGGATAGCAGAACCTGCAGAAATTTGAATAGCATTTTACCAAAGTTTGAGAAAGGGGGTTTTTTGTATTTTTATAAGTTAAGACTGTGGGACAATTTCTACTTTATGGGGCAGTAGATTATATTTGCAATGAGAATCTCTGCACAGAAATTGTATAAGTCTGCTCCAATTTTGGAATGGAGTAATGTCTTACTATTTTGAGTAATGCTGGGAAATGTGCAGCCCTCCAGGTGCCGTTGGACTGCAGCTCGCATCAACTTGAACCAGCATAGTAATCGGTAAGGGATAATGAAAGTTGCAATCTAACAATATCTGGAGAGCCACATGTTCCCTATCCCTGATCTAGAAGCTCACCAGCCTGCTTTATCTGAACGACCTATATAGAACTGAATAGGAAACTGTACTTGGATGAATGCTATCTTTAAGATTATTAATACTAGACATCTTTGACAGCAAGTTGTGATTAGAGCATTATCTATTTCATTTCTATATGTCCCAACAGCTGAAGCTCTCTGAACATTTTAAAACAATCCATAAAATGCTGAATAGCTATCAAAATGCTCACTTTTAGACTAATATATGATTATTTTTGTTTTATGCAAAATTGTATATTTTCAAGCTATGCGTTAGTGAGAGCTCATATTTTTAAACTTAACAATATTTTCCCCTTGCTAATCTTTATCAGTAGAAAGCCAAAGATTGAACCTAAAATAATTTTGAGAATATCCTTGGTTTTAAGTGCATTAATCAGTTATAAATAGTTTACTGGCAGGTAAAAGGTTTTTAAATATCCAAACTGCTATATAATTAATTGTCCTTTATAAGTCCTAAAAGCACAACAGTGCCATCAATGTATGTGTTACTGTAAAATAATTCAAGCAGAAGTAAGGTCATTGCCTCAAACAGCACAATATTAACAAAGCTTTTTAGGTTCTGTCAAAACCTAGAAAGTAGGATGAAGATGGTAACAGTGGAAGGAGTAATAAGGGATGAATATGACCAAATTTGAATTACACATATGTAGTGTTCTAGAGGGGTACCTGTGCTACATGACTTGATCTTGGATCCTGTATTGTCCTTATACTCATGAACTGGAATCTGATCCATTGGAAGAAATTTTTGTTTATTTTCCTTGCAACCTCCCACATTGTTCTAGACAGTTCCCAACCCTACAGAGCAGATTTTCAGGGGTGTAGGTGGCTGTAGAGGGAATTGATGAATTGCCCCATCCCCTTTCAGCAGGAGCATCCTATGAGTGGAGTTCCATTAAGTGTAATCCAAACCTTTATCTTCATAGTGTTGTTCTAATTTGTAATATTTTTGTTGGGGCTTAAAGGAAACAAGGCAGAGAAGACACTTTGAATAGATGCTCTGAAAAAGAGTTGCAAGTATAAGGCATAAAGTTGAATACTATATAGAGAAAATTGTTACTAGTAATGGAAAGGTATTTCACCTTCCTGAAATAAAATGCTGGCTAGATAATTTTCTTGCCTCCTAATTCAGGTTGCGACTTGAGCGAACACAGCGACACGTGGAGGGCTATGTTGAGCACTGGAGTGGTCACATTGTAGTCTCTGCTTCCACCAAAGAGTGGGCCATAAAGAAGTACCTTCATAAGACTTCGGGTGTAACAGCATGTAGGAATGTGGGGCGTGTGCTAGCACAACGTTGTCTCGAAGCGGGAATCAACTTTGTGGACGTCAGGGCTACAATACCATGGCAAAAGCGTTCTAGTTCGGCAAGTTGATTCTTTTTGGGGGTTTGATCTTTGATTGACCTAAAAGATGTGGATGCTATGCTCATGTTTCAGGATCTCGTTACAGTCCTGTTGGCAGAGTAGTTTATTTCTGTCATGGTGCTATAGTCTGGCACTTGTGCAAATTGCATTAGCTGGGGACATGCAGTCCTGCTCAATATATTGTTTCACATTTTGAGAAAGGAATGCTAAATGTCAAGGCAAGCACATGCTAAAATCCATTGTCATGTAAGCAGATTTCTGCTTGCACAGCAGGAGTTTCCCTCCCTTTCTTTACCTGTACAGTATTCCCTAACTCTCTCTGAAGCAGATTTGGGACATGCCTGTGGAGTGGAAGGAACTGTAATAAGGGAAGGAGTGTCTGGTATAAGGACATGTTTGGATACAATTCATGGTTTTAAAATGAGAAAAGCAGCAAAGTGGGAAGAGAAGGGAAGGATCTGTCAAAGGAGTTAGATAACAGTGAAAGCTAAAGCTTTCTAGTTTTGCTGTGGGGCAGTACAGAAATATGTTTATAATACTAATGGAGGTAACAGATTAAATGTTATAACTTTATTTCTTTTTCTTTTTAAAAAATAGGTCCGAATTTTTCAAAATTCTATGACTGAGGGTGGTGTTGAATTGCAAGAGCTACGAAGAATATATGAATAAGTTGGAAATTTGGGGAAGAGTCTAAGCAATACTGTTCAAAACTCTGCGGTTCTGCCCTTTCAGGGAAAATGATACTGTTTCACAGATATACTATTGAAACCAGTCTAGTCAAATAAAGACCTAATAGAAAAACTGGTGTAGCTGCCACTTTTTTCTTATTTAATAGCTACTTGCTAATAGTTATTTCTGGAATTTAGAAACACAAAAACAACGTGAGTCAGAAGGGGCCTTCTGAGCTGTCTAGCCTGATCCTCAGTGCCAGCCGGCTTGGCTCATGCAATCTCCAACATGTGGTTTTCCAATCTTTCCTTGAACAGCCTCACTGATGGGGCCTCAACTACCTCCCTTGGAAGCCCATTTCACATCGGAGGGGTCCTAGCATATTCCTGCTGACTTTGAGGTTATACTGTTCTGTGATATAGAACTTGGGATATTGAACCCTTCAGCCCAAATTAACATGACCAGTGGTGAGGGGTGATGGAACTTGTAGTCTGGCAACACCTGAAAGACCACACGTTTTCCACTTCTCAAACAAGCTCAGCTGAGTGACACAGTAATTCTTTGGTTGATCTTAATGGTCAAGCTCACTCTTGTGGGTGCAGACAGTCCTTCCTTAAAACAATTTGGCCACCAGCTGTGTAGTTTTAGACTAGAACATTTTAAAATGGGCACTGAGATTCGCTAACAACCAATGCTGTTGCCACATGTTCTGATCAGTTAGCTTACACAAGCAACTGGATAGCTGCATTTTGCAGGAGGGGTACATCTGAACAGCATTTAAAGGCAATCCCATAAAGTGTGTGTTTTGGTAGTCCAAGTATTGTATGGGAGTGCCTGCTTTCAGGATGGGCTGAAAGGCACTGATCCTAAACATTATTTGAGATAGTTGCAAAATTTGTTTAGGATGACAGCACAATATTAACAAAAATTTATAGGTTGCTTCCCTAAAAATTTTCCAATGCAATTCACAAAGAAGCAAGGAAGTCAAAAGCAGGAATGTACAATCCGCACAAACCATGAAGAACGACAAACCAAGCGTTAAAATTGGTAAAAAAAAAAAAATGGGAGGAGAAAAAGGCTTCCTAGCTCATCCAAAGCTTAAGAGGAAGGGAACCAGCCCAACCCCTTGGGACAGGGATTTCCAGGGTCTGGATCCTGCATCGAAAAACACTCAGACTCCTGTGAAAGGGTAAGGTGCAGCTGCTGAACATCATGGGAGGACAAGACTGGCCAGGCGATAGTGCCTCAACTAGCTGTCAGGTTTGAGGAACTCCTGGGCAAAGGGCCCTAATTAGCTGCGTCCGCAGTCAGTAGGCCTCGCTGGACTTATTTTGACTGGTGGTAGCAGCACTGGGGCTTGGTAGTCGGAAGACGCTTAGCTGCTATTTTTATTTCCATAATGCTACATTGGCGGCATTTGAGAGTGGATAATTAAAGACCTAGCAATGGCTCCATCCTTAAACATTCTGGTTCCCTACCGTTTACCAAATACCATTCCTTTGGTAATACTGCGGGTCGTCTCCCGCTCGCATCCCGCACTTTCCCCCTCAGGCAGCGCTCTTGTTTTAGCAATGGCGCGACAGTCAGGAATGCAACAGGCGTCATTTCCATTTTCAGTCGGCTAAGGTGGGTGCTCGAGGGACTAACCAGATCGCGGTCGGCTCCGAAGCGCCCGAAAAAGCCGAAGCGCCCGAAACGCGGCGCCTTAGCAGGCGGAAGCAAAGGCGGAGCTTTGGTCGTCTATTTGTAGCAGCCACGGAACGGGGGCCGGGCTGAGCGCTCCTCTCTCGTCTAACCGTTTGCACGTGCGGTTTCCGAGCCGAAGGCGCGATGGATGTGGGCGCTGCGCAGTTTGAGGAAAAGCTGCCCAGGTTGCAGGAGCTGCTCCTTGGCTGTGATTTTGTCGGTGAGGAAAAGAGCAGGAGTGCTTATGTAAGAGCCTCCTGAGCGGGTTTCCCCTGTAGACTGAGACTGGACAGAGAGGGCAGGGTACAACTTTACTCTGTGGTAGTCAGTGGCCCTTTCCTCTTGTGAAGTGTGTTTGGACTTAGAGGCTACTAGGGTGGTACATAAATGCTGCTGCTGATATCCTCACCCAGTTGGCAAACTTTGTGACTGTCAGAGCTTTGGTGGTCCTACACCTTGTTGGTCACTTCTTATATGGCTGTATGTGCTATTCCTGTTAGGAATACATAATATTTTTCCTAGCATTTAAAATACTGAGGAGGATGGTTACCTTCTTCCCCTCCCCAATTTATGAATCTAGTGTGCAGAGTTGACCAATGTATTGCTATCATAAGAACAGCCTGCTCAATCTTTCCTTACTGTGTGTGTGATTACTTCAGATTCCTTGAGCCCCAAGAGGCCATGACCATTCTTCCTTTACTTGTGGAAAAAATTCCTGTTTTTCACAATAAGTTTCCTTAGATCAGAGATAGGCACTTCTCTCATAATCTCTGATAATTAGCCATGCTGACTGGGGCATGCAAGGCCTTTTTTCTGTTGCGTATGATTGTGCCCTTAGTCTGCTTTATAGTAGTGGTGAAAAGCAAATGGGCTAGTTTGCTGTCCTTGTGAGAGTTCTGTCTGTTATCTTTGTTTTGCAGGCCTTGACATGGAATTCACTGGTTTGCATTCAGTCTTTTCGCCTGAGGGAGAGCCCAGGTAGGTTTGTTTTCTGATGTACTCATAAGAGGAGTATGAAGAAGTGTGCATAACAACATAGTAATAATTTGATTTTTCCCTCTCCAGTCTCTTTGATTCACCTTCTGAGTGGTATCGAAAAGCCAGATGGAGCGTTCAGCAGTTCACAGTGAGTCAGCTTGGTAAGCTTTTCTGGTTTCTTAAGGTTGTATCTAATGTTACTGCAATTTAATGTTGGTGCATTGAATGGAATGAGACTTAAGCTGGATGTGAGTATAATGCACATGGCATCTTGTGCCATGCCTGATCTCTTGTGAGCCTCAGAAAGTTTGGGAAAAATGGAGAGCAGGTTCTTCATGGGAGCAGCTGCAGCTACCTGGTCTTCTGCTCAGGGAGAGGGGGCAAGATTGCCCAGGTTATGAGGTAGCAACCTGTATATATAAGCTTTGACCAGATTTAAAATGCTATCTGAAAGAAATCTCTTTATAGGTGACCTATTTTCTCAGTGTTTTTTGTTTTTAATTTTTTTAAAAATAACATTTTAAAATGCAGTATCTTTCTTCCATACTCCTCAATTAAATAGGGTAGCATATTAGTGAGAGTACCATGCTAAATAGCTTTTCTTTTCTCCCTAATACCACAAGGAGAAGGATTAAGCTAAAGAGGCATAGAAACTATTCCAATATCACTGGCACACTAGTATAATATTCCCAGTGCATGTTGAGATGTAACTAGAAACTAGAAAAATAAGTATAAAATTAAGACCATAATTACATGATAAGAAATCTCTCATACATTTGAAACTGAGTTACAAGTGTTTAAAATCTGTAAGTAGTTTGCAGTACTATAGGCACACTTCTTCTCATTCCATTGTGCCAGTGTGACCAACTGGTGGTTTAACAGGGAGCTATCACTTCCTAAAGCAGACCTAGAAGTGCTCATTTCCAGAAAAGGACAGGTGAATGGAATACCCTTTAGCAACCTCCATTTACCTGCCCCAGTCTGTTAATGAGCATTTCCAGTAGTTTTTGGTTCCTTTAAGGATGACTGTATAAACTTGTCCTCTGGGAAGAAATGGAGCAAGGGGAACATATATTTCCATTCTTAAGATGCATGAGAGCAGTATAGATGTAAATCAGTCCCTCCTGAACACCTAATTGTTGCTTGATTGCCAGTATTTGGTGCCCAGGCTAGGTCAGCTTTTACTGTCACCCGAATGTTTGCTGTTTCCAGTTTTAGCAGATAGCCAGATGTGTCACATGCATATTAGACTTGAGATTGTTCAACATACGAGTGAAGGACAAGCACCTGTGACTGAAGCATCTCTGTGAGTGACTATCCTGTGGCTTATTTTTCTTTCAGGTTTGTCAATATTCTGCAATGAAAGGTCAAACAAGTAAGTGAAGTCCATGCATTTATGTCTTTCAAGCACTACTTTGTAAAAGTGATGTCTCATAAATAGGCAGCCTTAGTCATTTTGATTCACTTTGATTTTACAGGTATGTGGCACATTCATATAACTTTTTCCTCTTCCCCATGACATTTGGCCAAAAGGATTCTGAGTTCTCTTTCCAAGCAACTAGCGTTCAGTTCCTGTCTCATTATGGTTTTGACTATAACAAGGTATGTTGTTGTTTTAGATAGTCTATACAAAGAAAGTAATGTGGGGAAAATTTAGACATATTGTTTTCTTTTTCAGCAAGGTTGCTTAGGGTTGGTTTTGCGCCTAAGAACTGTTGAAACACAGTGTACTCAAATATATTTCTAAAATGTTATCATAAATTGAATGATAACATATTTCTCAGCTAAAGTGTAGGTGCTTTAGGGTACAATCCAATATCCAGTTTTCTGAAAGTGGGACTCCCTTCTGAATGCCCCACCACCAAGATATATTGTTGTGGTTAATTGCGAAGTCGTGTCCAACCCATCGCAACCCCATGGACAACATTCCTCCAGGCCTTCCTGTCCTCCACCATCTCCCAGAGTCTACTTAAGCTCATGCTGACTGCTTCAGTGACTCCATCTAGCCACTTCATTCTCTGCCGTCCCCTTCTTCTTTTGCCATCTATTGTTCCCAGCATTAGGCTCTTCTCCAGTGAGTCCTTCCTTCTCATTAGGTGTCCAAAGCATTTGAGTTTCATCTTCAGTATCTGGCCTTCTAAAGAGCAGTCAGGATTGATCTCCTCTACGTAGGATTGATGGTTTGATCACCTTGCGGTCCAAGGGACTCGCAGGAGTCTCCTCCAGCACCACAATTCAAAGGCCTCAATTCTTTGGCGCTCAGCCTTCCTTATGGTCCAACTTTCACAGCCATACATTGCAACTGGGAAAACCATAGCCTTGACTATACACACTTTTGTCTGCAGGGTGATGTCTCTGTTTTTCAGTATGCTGTCTAGATTTGCCTTAGCTTTCCTCCCAAGGAGTAAGTGTCTTTTAGTTTCTCGGCTGGGTGGGGACTAGAACCCAGGTTGCCTGAGTTCCAGTCCTGCACTCTTAACCACTACACTAGACTGCCTTTAGTGCTATTATCTAACCTGCTGTGAAGTAACGGTCAGGGTATAGCCTATTTCTTCAGTTTCCTTACCCCCCTTCCAATACTGCTCTACCTGTCTGCTCTCTAGTGAATCTAACAAGATGGAAATCTTGTCAGATGCATCTTTTCCTTTCCCCTTCATCTTTTAATAATTAAAATTTGCTGGACATACCAGCATAGATACCCACAGATGCCCCTTCACAGGTGTTGAGAGGAATCGCCTCAATGGTGATAGCAGGGGAAAGGGTTGGGTGGGTGAACTGAAGAGGGAATGCCCTTGACTTGGACAGTGTATTGCTGCCTTGATGCAAGAGAAAAAATAAACAAGGCTGCCCAAGAGACTGCCTACCTGTCTTCTGGTCCCTATGTGGATGGGGAATGGACAAGGACACATGAGGAGAGGAAAGAACTTGTTTGCAGGAAGGCAGAGAAGAAAAGAGAATGCCTTCCAGGGTAAGCATTGCATGCTTTGCCCTGATAAAAAGCAGAAGAGGGAAAGAGGATCAGATTTGGGGGCTGCTCAGGAGGTATGAGACAGTGTGATAAAGTGTGCCAGTATTTTTGGTGGACAGATCTTTTGATGTCTTCCTTTTAAGTGTGTGGGATTTGGGTGTTTCTGGTTTTTTGCTTCCTGCCCATTTTGTCTACACACAGCTGACTGCTCTATAACCAAGTCTGTATTTCTTGGGGAATATGCTGATTTATATTTTGTCTTATTGATCTGTTAAAACCAACAGTCATTTAGTCAGTCCTCTTCATTTCTACAAATGGTTTCAATTGTTATGCTGATAAAGGGCATGGGCTTCAGTCCAGTGTGTGCCTACAGAGGAGTAAGCTCTGTTATCACAGTGGGCTTATTTGCACAACACAATGGACTGTTCTGAGTCATTTCACACCGGGTGAGGCTGCAGTGCATGCATTCCTTGTTTTCAGTATGCAGTTCCTACTTGGGTGTTCTCACCTTGTGTGAGCACAGCAAGCATAGATTCTGTGAAGGTGTTTAATCCTCCCAGAACCCACACTTGCTGGATCTACATGAACACCCTCTGAATGGGAGTTAGATATGCACTATAGCACCCATGGGTGGATTAAATAACCCACAGTGAGCTGCAGCACATTATGCAAACACAGTCAGTGGGCCTTGTTTCTGAACAAACATGACCAGGAGCATGTTGCACCTTCCAAGTGGGATCTAAATGGGGAAGACTCATTAGGTCAGTTACTAGTGGCAACAGAAGAATTCAAAATGTGGGTGGAACATTTTGTGTAGATCTTTTTTTTTTGTCCAAGGAGAGGGTCTCAAGAAAAAGAAGAAACCATGTGTTTAGAACCTTTAACAATATTTTATCAAAATGTTTTCAAACTGAGATCTGGTTCCGTGTGTTTTTTCTTTGTGACTTTCCTTATCAGCTGAACAAAGAGCAATTGGAGTCCTCATGCATTTGAGAATGTTTAAAGCACAAGTTGACTAATGGTATTTGATTTTTGTACAACCAAGTAAAGGAGAACTTCTGTGGTGTGGTCTGGTGAACAGAAAAGAGCCATGGAAGATCTGCCTAAGAGTTCATCCAGTGACTCTAGCTCCTATAGCTTTTAGCATGCAAATGTCATGCTGTGTGAATTTATCCTTTCTATCTCTTCAGTTTCTTAAAGATGGGATCCCATACATGAATAAGACACAGGAGGAGAAATTTCAGCATCTGTTACCTGGTAGTTGGATGATCCGTAGGTAAAAATGCTTGCATGCTATTGCTTCAGTGTTGGTATTGAATTTGGGTAATTAGATAAGAGTGGTTCCTTACTGGAGACAGTACATCGCTTTATGCCAATTTCTGGGAACATAAGCCAAAGCATGCTTTTGCACTTATGTGCTACTTGTGGGCTTCCTGCTGACAAAGTGATGGTTTGCCATTGTATGAATAGAATCCTAAACTAGATGGACCCTTGGTCTTAGCTAGCATGGTGGTTCTTACTTATTATTAGATGGACTATTTATGTTATGAGTCGACATCACACTTAGAGACCTGGCCTGGGTCCCACCCTCTGTCCTGCATGCCCCTCAACTTGCATGGGCTACAATGTTCTTTGCCATGGCTCACTGTGCTCCTCTGTCTTTATTCTATCTCTCCTCAAGATCATCCATTCATTATCTCCTGTTCTTCTTCTGATCATAGCTCTTATTCTCTTGACTCTTTTCATGTTCATTTGTCACTTGTATCATTTTCTTCCCTTTCTTGGCCAGCTTATATCTTTCATACTTCAACTCATAGTCTCAGCCTTCTTGCAGCCTTTCATGCAAGTTCTATGCTTTGTTCTTTCTCGGCCAACTTACTGCTCCTAAATCTCCCATTTCTTGTCCACTTACCTCAGGGTGGGCAACTTGTCCTCCAGATGTCTTGGCCTATAGCTTCCATCATCTCTTACCCATTAGCTGTGGTGGCTGGGGTTGATGGATTTATGGGACGAAACATCTAGTAGGTCACAAGTTGCCCACCCTGGCAAGGAGCTGAAGCCATAATTAGTATTTGCCTCTACCAAGGAAAGTGATCATGCAACTGATGAGACCAATGAAATAAAAATGTCATCAGGAAGCACCATGAAGACACTATTAGACACTGTTCCAATGGTGGTGTGGAGTACGAAGTGAGAAGTGGAGGTTTTTGCAGCAAGCATTTATGGCTGACAACAGCCTCCAAGAGCTTGAAGATGTTTGACCACCTGCCATAACCCATAACAGGAGGGGCATATCCTTTGCAAACCTTGGCATGTGCATGCAGTGAACAAAGGGTGTTTGGAAGGCTTAGTTCAGACTGGAGCTCAGTTCTATTCAATATTTTTACTCCTCCCTATCCCTCTCTCCCCTCTCCCCCACTTCTAGTGGTTTTGGCAAGGACAAGCTAAAACAAGTGATCGATGAGGTAACACGCTGGATATCCTTAGCAGAAGAGGAAGATTCTATGGTTTTGCAAGATTTATATGGTAGGAAGTATGACCATGGACTTATTTCACATGTTGCCTTCATGTTCCACAATCCTTTGATGACATGTGATCTTTTCTCTAAGTAATATTCTTTTTTTTCCCGATTTCAATTCTGTGCTTTTTTTTGCTCCCCCTCTTTAAAGATAATTGAACCTTTCTTTTCTTATCTCAGTATTTAAAATATTTCTGAAAAAACACTTCTGCAAAGCTCGCAAAATCTTGTGCTTCACTGATAATTTTGGAACCAAAAGGTATAGACTCAGTTACAAACCATTTTGAGAAAGTAGCATATGCAGAACAGGCATATTAAAATAGATTTGACTTGCCAACATCCTTTGCAGGAATGGTAACTATCTCCTTCTCACCTGAATTATCTTAAGTATATCAATGGCATGCTTCTCAAAAAAGCGTTCTTCTTGTGCATTAGTACTTAACATGTTCAGAAAGGCTATACCAGATGCTCTTTCTGAGATTGTGCCACCAGAAGGTAGAGAAATTCCATGTATGAAATAAAAATTCAGAATCCTCTTTACTTGCATAAGGAAACCAACACTTCATGGAGAAATCAAGAAGAGAACTGTGCTCACTAATACGCTAACATACTAATAATGGGTGCAGAGACTTTTTGCATTGTAAGTTTTCAGTTTCACAGGGGCCCCAACTTGCATTTTGCAATAGTATAGTCTCATAAAGACTATATCCTTTGAATATGTTGATCAGCCCACAGTTTTGAAGGGTGACCCCCAAAAAAGCAACATATATCTCATTTGTGTCTTTTCATCTGTCTGTCTTTCTACTCAGTTACTTAGCTTGGAAGAGCTCCATTGACTTTTCACTTGCAATGATTTGCTCCCTTAAACCAATTCTTAAAATGCTGTACAGCTTTTCCAGTTTAGTCAACTATGTTATGGAAATATATTCAAACTGTACCATAATGGCTTTTCAACATCTCTATGTTGTTTCTTTTTGTAGGTTTCCAGCTATTTGAAATACAGTTGATCTTAAGGCAAGCTATCCAAGATATTTGGACAGTCCCTTTGGGAGGTCAAGAGGTGAATTTAATAGTATTGCATCAGGAGTGTTTCAATATTATCAAAGTTCTTGATTAGTTTATCTTGTTCCTGACATTGTATAGGTTTTCATGCTTAGATCCTTGAGAATCCTGCCAAACCCTGGAGAGTATATGGAAAACGTTTGGCTAGTGTGACCCTTGAGGTTATATCTTTCTAAATATAGGCCTTCATAACACTGTAGGCCAGCACTGCATTTTTAGTCTGCTGTATGTTTTGGTTACCTTATGCAGTTTTGGGAGGAAATTCACAGAGTACAAACTTGTGTCTTCTTCAGACATACATGATACATTAAAAGCATTCTGTACATTCAGTTTTTTAAACACTGGAAAGGCACGCTTTTGCCTACAGTCCACACATTGCTTGATGGTGTGTGTCTCGAGCTGATCGTGTTCTGTTTCCTTCATGCTTCACATACCATATTTGATGCCTGCGGCTGGGTTGTAACTCTCTCTCATTCTTCTCTGCTCTGTTCAGACAGTAAAAAGTAAAGGTTTCCCCTTGACATTAAGTCCAGTCATGCCTGACTCTAGGGGGCGGTGCTTATCTCCGTTTCCTAGCAGAGGGACCCAGCAGACAGTTTGTCTGCAGACAGTCTTCGTGGTCATGTGGCCGGCATGACTAAACCCCGAAGTGCATGGAATGCTGTTACCTGCCCACCAAAGTGGTACCTTTTTATCTACTTGCATTTGCATGCTTTTGAACTGCAAGGTTGGCAGGAGCTGGGACAGAGCAACGGGAACTCACCCCGTTGTGTAGATTCGAACCGGCAACCTTTTGATCAACCATCCCAGCAGCACAGCAGTTTAAACCATTGCGCCACCTGCAGTCCCTGTTCAGACAGTACATTTTCTTAAATGCTGGCTGTCAGAAATGTGACTGTGCAAATACCTAATGGATATTAGTGTGAGATTTTTGACTCACTCCTTGCCTACACCACCTTGTGAATGTCATCTTTTAAAGAGAGAAACTGCTTTAATCATTTTGGCCATATACTTTTCTGCTAGGTAAAACTACTGCTGGAATAATAACCCAGCTGTTTTTTAAAGCAAGTGAATTGAAGATGAGATACCAGAGTACATACACATTGGCATACCACTTCACAGACAGACAAACATGACTGTGGAGCTGTGTGCTTTCCCTCTCCTATCCTGGAGGGTGCATCTGTTGATATTAGTTGAACTTGGGTTCCATTGAGATCAATTGAATATTACCCATGACATGACTCAAGTCCTATGGATTTCAGTGAGAACTTAATTTTAGTATGGATGTGTGGGAGGCATTGAAAAGGGGACAGGAAGGCTATTCTGTCCACACAGCACCACAGTTTCTTTTTCTGGGGCTGGATAGTGTATATTTTTGGCTGCAGCTCCAAGATTTTTGTGCAAACTATATGTGATACAAATAGGGCAGGAGCATAAATAATCACTCATCTGCTTGATTATGTGAGTGAAACCCTTTCTATGTGATTATACAGGAAAGATTTTATTAAAGTTTGAACTCCTAGACAGAAAATCTATAATGGGAAGTATGTTTGATAGGCTGGCTCATCTGAACTTATTTGCAAGGCTGAATTATATTGTTTTGTTTTGTATATAATGGACTCTAGATAACATAAATGTCAAAAAGCATTCTGTTTATACTCCCGGGAACTACATGCAAAGGATTTTAGGTAAAGATGAATGAGTTCTTTGCCACCACTTAACCGTGGGATTGGGTCACTTTCTGGTTAACTGGCTTCAGCATTGAATTCAAACCCCATTCTGTCAGCTCCTTCTTGAGCGAGGAAACTTCTACAGCCACCAAACTGGTGGTTTGCATGAAATCTTCATCTTTGCATAATGTGTTGACATGTTATGCCTCCACACTAGGATGCAAGCAAGCTACTTTGATTATGAAAAGTAAGTTTATCCAACAGCCTCTGTTTAAAATAAGAAACTGGTGTAATGGCTGTTAAGGCTATGATTAAATTTTGGCACTTTGCATATATCTGACTAGATGCATATATAATGTACACAAAGCTCAAGCACAGATTTTATGCTCTGATTTCTTTCAGGTGATGGTGATAAAGTTGAATCCACAGCAGCGTTGGTTGCTGCAGAACACTTCCTATGACTCCTGTCGGAGAGAGCAAATTCTTCTCTCTGCAAGAGGCTTTACCAACCTTTTCCAGACTCTTGTCGAAGCAAGAAAGGTAAATCCCAAACTTTTTAAAATAAGATTATAAGCTTACACAACTAGTGTTGTCAAACAGGGTCTTTCAGTGTTACAAATGCTCATGGTGAAACTAAATAAAATTGCCTTTGTTTAGTGATAGTTGAACCCTTAAATATGAAACTACCAAATCAACCACTGAAATAAATTCAGCTTGAGATTTTTCATAAGCTCTTTACAATATCATTCCCTTATATTTTACAGCTATTCTAGCTTTGAAGGGACAATGTGGAGTTTCTAGTACAGATGTACATTAATTTGGAGGCAAATTAAATTTAGTATAATTTAAAACTACTTCATGTAACTTTCTAGGTATTACTTATTTCATGGTTTTCAAAAGAAAGCTCTATATGAAAGTAATTTATATTTACTAATTTCTGATGAGAGAAAATTTAACTAAAATCAATATATCAGTAGGACAAGATGGTTAGGCATCTTCCTTTATAGCATTACCTACTATTATATAAAAGTTATAAATGTATATCTAGTTTTCTGGTGCCATGGCTAACTGATCCAGACATGTTTTCCAATGTATTACATATTCCTGGAGTGCACTGAATGCATACTTGATTGCAAGTGTGAACTGCATGTCCAGCATTTCCTGCATTTGGAACATTAAGCTACAAACCATCTCCCCAGTTTACAAGGTGTTTTTTACCTGGGGTCAAGCCATCTCCCACAAGCATCTTGAGGATGTCCAAAACCGAGAGGGCTGTACCATTAGTGTTCCTGCAGATATGAACCAGTGTTCAGGTGTGTTGTGTGTGTGGTGGAGAAAGGGTTCCTTAATTTCCAAATTCTCTTGTGGCTCTGTTCCTTCCTCCACCTTGTTTAGCCTGAAGATAAAACTGATTGCCATAGGCCTTCATTTTTGTTATGATGCTCAAGCAAATAGCATTTGTTTTCTTAAAGGGACTTAGTACAGAGGCGTTTGCTAGCCACTGTTCTACACTGATGTGTTTAACTCTGCTTTCTCTTCTCCATAGCCCCTGGTGGGACACAATATGTTGATGGATCTTCTGCATTTACATGAGAAGTTCTACAAGTCTCTTCCTGGTAATCATACAGGGTCTTTTTACTATCTTCCTAATTGATAGGTAACTGCTTCTGATTTTTTCTAGCTGCATTTATTCTGGTCTTTTAAAACTTTTTTGTCCTATACTTTTAAATTTCCATTATGTTTTTTTTGTCACGTTACATTTTATGGTTTAAACTTTTGTGAACAGTTCAGACAGCTATTGGACAGTACAGGAATGTAATAAAAATTACATTTCCAGGTTTTGGCCACCCTAAGAACAGTAACTTAATCAATTATAAGTTAACAAGCAAGCATTGATGATTTCTCTCTCACTGTCTCTGCTCTCTCCTCCTCCTATTTCCTATTTTAGAAAGCTATGAGATGTTTAAAAAGAACATACACACCCTGTTTCCTGTTCTCTTGGACACAAAGAACATAACAAAAGCTTTCTGGAAGGTAACTTATATTCTCTGCTGAGTTCAGATGATCATGGGGAAAAGAAGCCACAGTGGTTTCTTTCTTCCGCCTCTATGCATGCCAGGCACACACTGCGCAACTTGCCCAATTACTTTCATGGCACATGGTTTCCTGTGCCATCCAAACTGGATGAGGTGTCCAGTTGGGGATGGCAGCTTCTAAACCACTTTAGAATCCCACAGTAAGCAGTGGGCTGGTTCTGGTATCATGGAACTATCAGGTTGCTAAGAACAGAATCAGCTTAATGACTCTGAAGCAGATGCTGAAACTGGTGTCCTGTACGGCTGAACAAATAAAAATGCTGCCTTTCAAATTAGAGTGAGCACATAAGGATAAAGTGATAGAAAGCTGTGCTCATGGGCAACAGCTTTGATATTTCATTTGTGAGTGTCGTTCTGTATTTTACTGTCCTTAAATGGATACTATACATATTCATTCCAGTATTCATTAATTGGAGTAAGAAAATTGTCCATCACTTTTCAGCATAAGGCCTTATTCTGTAGACTCCCAATACTTTCAGAGCAGTTGATAAAGAGGAGCTTAAATACCCCCAATTGGCAGTTACCTATAGTAAAATTCCAGTCCAGTTAAGGCTTGAGGGCCTGAGGCTTAGATTTATAAGTTACTGAAGCAATGTTTATTATTATCTAAATTTATAAACTCTTTTCCATGCAGTTCTCAAAGCAGCGAAGATAAAATATTGTTACCCTAATAACCCTAAAACTACAAAAAATATAAATGAACACTATTCAGAAATGAAAGTATACACTCCACCATGTGCTGTAAACCATAGCAGGGGAAGCCTGTGTGCAGAGATAGGTTTCATGAAGATGTCTCAGCACTGAAATATAATATACAATATTGTACCTTCCTGAAGGTCTTAAGGACAATCAATGGTAGGAGAAGCCTCGGGAGCAGATAATAATAGTGGGTGACATCCAATGCTTGGTTTCCTGACCTCCATTCCTGTTTTGTGACTCTTCTGCTCCACAGCAGATCTGAGCCACCTGAACGCTTTTGTTTGTTGGTCTTTCCATGAAACAGGAGTTCCAGTTTCCTCAGGCTTCTACTCTATTGGAGATTGATGAAGTACTGTGCAGGTTAGTAACACTACTTTAAAAAAAGCTCTTTTGCTCTTATTTCAGTATTAACTTGTCTGGAAAAAAAAGTTGCTAACTAGTTTTTCTTAATAGTTTCATTTCATGCAATCTTGATTGCAGCTGAGGCTTCCATAATTTGAAAGCTATGTTTTGGGTTGTCCCCTCTTCCCCCACATTTAGATGAGCGTAGATGGCATTTTGTTAAGAACCACATTTGGCAGGAGTACAAACCCTGCACAATAATTGTGCTTCTTCTTTTAAGTGAGCCATCCCCCCACACCTGGCGGCGGAATTGTTAGATAAGATAGCATGCCATTTCCATCTCGAAAAAAGAAGTTGTGCAGAAATTCTTGGGGTGAGTCACCAATACCCTGGCAGCACAAAAGCTATAAAATGGCATCTTTACACTCGCCTTGAATAGAGTGAACATAATTTGGTTTTGGTTGTTCAGATATGCTTGCCCCGCTTAGTAGAAAGTCAGCCCAGTCTTTCTGACTTGTTTCGATGAAGAAGCAGTCAAGGACTGTTAGTGAGGCTGCTGCAGAACCAGGTAACTGACACTTGATTCCTCCCAGCAGCTCCCTGAGTGGCACAGCACAGTCTTGTCCAGAGATCTTCCACGCGAGCGACTGCCTCAGATATGGTATGTCTTGTCACGGAAACAAACTCTTGGCCTTACATTGCTGCGTCTAAGGCAGGGACCCCCCCAACATGGTGCCTATGACACCTAGGTGCCCATGAGTCACCCAGTGGCAACCAGCAAGCTGTCTATTCCCTTCCCCAGTTCAGAAATTTAATTGTTCTCAAAAGCGGTAAAAATTTAGGGTGCCAAGTTCTCCTTTCTGATCCTGAGCTTGCCAGTGAGCAGCTACTTGTTGGGCAGGAAGAGAAGGAAAACTGCTTCTTGGCCTGCTGCATTATCTTCCACCCACAGAGCCCTTTTCTCCTTTGCAATCCCCCACCCCTCTCTCCTCTCCCTTCCTTTAGCCTCTTTCGCCTCTTTCTTTCCACACTTTCTTTCCCCCCTGTATCCCTCGCTTGGCTAGTTTCCCCTCAGCTCCAATTCCTAGCCTTGCTTATTCCCTGGCTTCCCTCTTAGTCATTTCGCCCGATTCCTAGCCCTGCCCCTTTTCTCCCTTTTGATCTTACAGTTTCTTTCTTCACTTGTCCCCAGCCATGCTCTGTTTCTCTCCTCTCCAGCCCCAACTCTAATTCTTCAGACACTCATACATGAAGATGAGGTAGGAATGGGAATGGAGCAGCTGAGCCTGGGGTGAAGGTAGAGGAACCCTTTTCTTCCCCTTTGGGGGGTTTCCTTTCTCTTTGGAGCTGAGGAAAGCTGTGTATGAGAGGATGAGCTGAGCAAATCTACTCAGAAGTAATGCCCATTCCATGTAAGTGTGCATGAGATTAAAAACTGAAATGGGTACTTTGTTGTTTTTTTCCTGTGGGATCAAATAGATGGATTGGCTTTAGAGTTCAGCCCCCTTCTGGTCATTTCTTGGGTCAGTAATTATGATTTGACTCATCATGCCCCTGTGGCAGACCTTACATCATTAGGCATAGAACCATTTTGTGGTGGTGCTCACAGCAGTTTCTCAAATCCCCAAATGTGCCCATGGGTCTAAAAAGGTTGGAGATCCTGTCCTAAACTTCCACAGGCTTTACTGGATTTAGAATCATCAGCTGCAAACCTAGACTCTTGGTAAGCTGGGGTGAAGTTAAAATTAACACTGTTAATTGGTTCTTAATTGGCATGTGGTTCTTTAGGCCTGCTGATAATGGTTAATAATGAATCCAAAAATGCTTGTGTAGACTGTGTGAATGAGGTCTTAACCTTTTCTGTTTTTTTAAATAACCTTTCAGCTACACAGAAGTCTCCACATGAAGCAGCCTATGATGCATTTCTTTGTGGATCAGGTACTGGTATAATTTCTTGAATCGGAACTCTTTCCTTTAACTCATTATATGAGTTCAGTATGTGGGATAGTCCATCTAAACTGTTGACAGACCCTTCTGCGCAGCTCAGAACTGCCAGAAAACTTGCAGGCACAATACAAACCTTCTTAAGTGTCTTTAGGAAAATGAGATTATTGTGATATGTGTTCAGAACAACTTTAAGGGGTTCAAGGATGAGATGTAATTATTGATTCATGTTCATGAGGTCCCTAACATTTTCTAAGCTCTGTGTAGAGTTCAAAATGCAGGAAAATCCCTGCCTGTAGGCTCAGATCCAATAGGAATAGCGTGTGGGGAGGGAAGAATATATTTTCTTGGTGCGCCTGCCAATTAAGGAGAAGCAGGTGGCTGCCAAGGAAAAGGGGGCTTCTCAGTGGCACCATGGTTTTGGAATACCTTCCTCAGTGAGGCTCACCTGGCACCTACACTATGATCTTTTTGGTGCCAGGTAAAGACATTTTCAGTTCTTTGTTTTGCTTTAAAATGTGTGTTGTTACATGTTTAATTCTCTTCTTGTTGCTGGTTTTTACTGTGGTTTTATTTTGTGTTAAACCTTTAAAGAATTTATTTTTTATCATGATCTAAGAGAGAGAGAGAGACAGAGAGAGAATGAAGTGAGCTTTGCTGTCAGTTGTCTCCCTCATTAGTATTATCTGTGATCTGTGGCTTGTATCCTGTTTTCTGTTGTAAATGGAGAAATATTAGCACAAGCACACAGGGAGAACTAGATGTACTCTTCTACCTTTTTGAAGGTTAATACTAGCCATGGACCTTGCCCTCAGCTAGCGCATGGGTACTATTGAGCATTTGTAGTTTTCTTTCATCTTAGTAGGACAAGTGTGGTAAGTATGTAATGGCACATTTTGATGAATTGTGTCTGAGAAATGGTCTATCACATGAGGTTAAATCAAGCCCTCGCTGTTTTTCCATCACATCCTCTGTAGGGCAGGGCTTTTCAACTCTGCCCCATTGACTTTTACCAACTGGATGGTGCTTAGATGGAAACTTCTTGGTATTAAAGATCACGCTAAGCAATCAATCAAGTGTTCTTGCCCTTGCTTTAATTTTTATGATTTGATGCAGAGCCTAACAGTACTTAAGCTGTTGGGTGTTCAGAAATGTTTTGAGCAGTTTTTAGGTTGTATCTGATGGTGCCCTTCCAGCAGCAGATCAGACAATTGCGGAAAATCAGATTTTCTCCTCACTGCAGCATGATGCGTGTGCTTCAGATCTGAGTTGGGAGCCTCCCTTACCTTTCTCACAGTCACTCTTGCAGTCTTGCTGTCTAATCATGACTAACTACAGACTTGATGATGGAATTGTTTCTTCTAGTTCTTCTTAAAATTGCCCACTTGCTTCTTTCCAGAAGTTCTTGGTAAGTTAAAATTTTAAAAATTTAAATGTATGTGCAGGAGGTTATATGTTTAACTGAGCAGTAGAGTAACATCTGTCATCAATAAAATATCAGAAACAACAATTGCATATGTAGGGAAAGTTTCAGCAATTTTATTCTTGGAAGGTGCATTGCAAAAGGCTGGGCATGAAAAACAGATTTTAGTAGCATAATATACATGGATGCATGGGAGGGGGGCAGTCCCTGCTTTCTTTATAGGAGTACAAGCCTTTGTCAACACCCTTTTGTGAAAATAATGCTTCATCTTAGCCAAGACCTGGTTCTTGCTGGTGCCTTTAGCCCACAAAAGTAAAAACTAACATTGGCCTAGTGTATCAGCTTTCCCCAACCTGATATACTGCAGTGTTCTGTACTTCCATGCCCCTCAGCCAAGCCTGCATGGCCAATGGTCAGGAATAATGGGAGTTGTTGTTGAAAACATTTGCATGGCACCAGATTGGGGAAGACTGCAGTAGCTGAATTGTATGAGCCCAAATATATTCTCCCTTATCTAGGATAAGGCTGTCAGTGGCTCCTGATCCTAATGAATGTGGGGTGCCTCCATTTTCAGTATGCCTATGCACATCAGGCGTCCTTGTATTCAAGTTTTGCTGTTGGTTTCCCTTGGGCAGCTGGTTGGCCACTGTGAGAGCAACATGCTGGAGTAGATGGAGATACAGTATGATCCAGCATGGTTGCTCTTGTGTTCTTATGTCCTGAAATACCTTTCTAGGTAATTGTCTGGTCTGTTTCTCTCCCTTCCACTGTTGTTTTTTCCCTTCTCTATTGTATTTTGATATTTTTGACCAGTCACTCCTAGACTGTTCCTGACAGAACTTACTTGCTGAGGTCATTGAGAATAAAGGCACCAGGCTCACTTTGCAAGCCACTTAAAGTGTAATTGTGCTTAACTGTAGTCATTTGCATATATGCTTGTTATATTGGAGAGGGGTCTCTTTATGTTGACGACCAAAGAGGGCTAGGTCCTAAAGGATGGATAACTGCATGATTCAGTTATGTCTCAAAACAGTCTGAAATTTTTGTGTTTCTGTGATGGCAAATATTTAAAATATTTGAACTAGTCCCCTTGCGATATTTTAAGGATACGCCAAAGTAACCCATCCAGGGAAGTTATGGCTAATGGGGTGGTATAAAAAAGTAACAAGTTGTGAAAATAGAGGGGCTGAAATCTTGTCCAGAGATTATTTATAAAATGATAGTATATAACGAGGACAATGGCCCCTTGATGTATTGGGTTTTTTAAATAACTGGGCATAAAACTTCAAGGCTGATGTTAACTGTACTGAAATGTCTATCTGTCTATCTGTCCAATTTGTCTAAGAGGCAAAAACTGGCATTATATGCTTGACAAACAAAAACAGTTTCTAGTACTTCGTAGTGCTACACATTGAAAAGCGTTCTACAGCTATCTAGTATTTAACTCCTCAGTATTTTTGAAATTTGGGGGAGTGGGGGCAGGGGTGGAAAGTACAAAGTTGTAGTAGCAATGGGAAAATTTGTGAGTTTACAATTGGAAGACCAGCTGTCTAGACCCCTAGTCAAGTTCCATGAATGAGAAAGAATAATTCCCTGATAAAAGTCTCACTTGGAAGAACTCACAATCCTGGGAACCCACATTCCCATCTTTTTACTGCATCCTCCTTAATAGAAGGCTTTTAAAAGAATATTTAATATCCTTCCTTAATTTAGTGATCCAGCAAGGAGTACTCCCACTTTTTCACAGTACCTTGATGTCCTGGCTACATATGTGAATCAGGTGAATCTTATCCGAGCCAGTGTTCAGAATATTGTGAGTATGAAGAGTAAAAAAAATCCTGTTTGCTCAGTTGCTTGACGCCTCAAATCATGCAGGGCTGATCCATGGTGGGAGAACATGAGAGCTCTGAGCACTATCACTTTGCAGGTGGGATGGAAGGTGAGGGCAGGTAGGGACAGTAAAAGGTGTCTTTGTATCACCATAGTCTTGTACCTGCCACCATTTGGGGGGGCGGGTTCTTTTTTGGTAATGGGCATGCATCCAGAGACAGATGCCTCTTGCCCTACAGCATCCTTAGCTGCCAAGGGAAATAACTGTAAAACTAAGAATTTCTTTATGTGTGGGATTACACACATGTGAGGTCACAGAGCAAATTCTTTTATTGAAGATTTGATTACTGAAAACCTTGCAGTAGCAAGGACAGCACAAGGAGAATTACTGCTCCTGAAAAACCCGAAACAAGCAAGAAGGAGGCGTGTCAGTAGCGTTCTGTTAGGTATGCTCCAATGGCATGCCTTTCAGAAATTGGCATTTCTGGTTTGTTTTTAGGTTGCTCGGGAAACACAGAATCTCCCTCAAGCAACTGGTTGGTCCTGCCTGCATAGCAGAACTGGCAGGATCCACCACTTGCAGAAGGGAACCAACTGGAGCAACAGTTACAAATTTTGCCAATAGATACTAATGCTGCAGACTTGAACAATACCATATTTTAAATTATCTACTCTAATTCTCCCCCACCATAAAGTATAGGTGTGTTTATACTTTTGCATTTTCTTTAATAATAACTAAAAAACTGTCGAGAAACTGAAACAGGAATGGTGAACCTCTTTCAGGGAAATTCAGGGGTAGGCGGCACTTTCCAAAGAGTCAGAGCCCCAGATACTGGCATACTTTAGCTTAAAGCAATTCCTGCCAGTAACTAAGCCTTAGGAGAGGCATTTCAGCCTTTTGGAGTGGGGTTGCACAAAGGGAAACCACCAGACAGTGGTTAGGAAGAGGTGTTGAGGCCACCTGGGGAACAAAGGAGGGGTGGATTATGGCCCTGCCCCTGGCATTATATATCTTTGACCCAATACTTCCCTCATGGCCTCAATAACTGAAGGCTTAACTTGATGATTTCTGCAGAATTTTTCTGGCACAGATGACTGTACAAGACGTCCGCCTTGCCTAATAGCTTATGTACATGGCTGGCCTGGGGTGAATGAGGAGCAAATCCATCGGGAGTTAAAAACCCTCTGCAGATTTGATGTGCGACGCCTAAGAACAAACCAATTTCTCTTGCTCTCCAATAAGTTTAAAGAGTATGTGATCAAAATCCTAGCTCTCCATGCCTTTGCAATTACCTCAGATTTCTTCTACTGTTTGTTAGGCCAAAGAGAATCTCTTTCAGAAGCTCACAAGTGATTTCAGTTGACTTCATGGTATGGGATAGCTGCGTATACTACACACAATAGCTTGCATCCATGTGTGCTTCTGGCTATTCAAGGTGTCTGCAATTCCAAGGGTTTAAGAAATTTAAAGATAATGGGATTTTTAAAGATATATAATGTGTACACATTTTAAAGCTTGTGTCCTTTTCAGACTTGGCTGAGTGAAATATCAGTAAAGCAGAGAAAATATAAAGACTCCATATGGCAGCATGCACAGTATCAAAACATGCACATTTTGGATGTTTCAGTAATAATTATCTTTGTATTTATTCCTGTGCTCTCTTGTGCCTTGTGGGGTTCTTCCCAACTCGGCTTACTAAAACTGCTGTGATTGGATACCTGATAAAACTGATCATAATGTGGGAACTGGGGGCATGAGAGAAAGGGAAGCGAAGGCCATGTCGTGGTCCTTCTCCATTCTCCTTTTGCTATGGTGAGGAAGGAAGAAAAAGCTGCCAGGGCATTTAGAAGGAGCCCCTCTTCCACACATGACTAGCTGCAGAATAGGTGGTTGAGAGTGTGAATAAGAGGCCTTGTCTTGGTCATAAGGGGTGAGGTGCTTCTTTATAGGCTTGAATGTGCATTGGTATGACCTACATATCAGAGCTTTTAGCTTTTCCATGCTTACTAGAGGCTGATCTGCTCCCCCAAACTTGCTTTTCATCTCTGCTGCTTTGCTCTGTGAATAGTTGTCAGGGAAACACTTTGGGGGTGGTGATGGGGATGTCTAATGAGAGGAGTCATTGGATGTGCACTTCTCCAGCTTTGAACTGCACCTCTTAGGAGGGGAACAAATGTTTAGCTGTCAGAACATATTCTTCTATATCAGTAGCTGAACCACACTTTTTCTTTTTAATTCAGTGTCAAGATGGTTTTGAGAGAATATAAAGGTCATCCCAACATTCAGATCTCCCTGTACCATTACTGGAGGCATTCTCCACAAGTGAATTGCTTCTTGCAGTAAGTAAGGTTGACTTTATATGAGATCTTCATGCACAGAGTTCTGGAAAGCTTTTGTTTTTGTTTTTTTGACTCTGCAATACAAAAACCAAACTGCACCCTTAGGAAGGAAGGACGGAAGGAAACTAAAACAATACAATTTCTGAATTAAAATTTAAAATGCTTATAGGATTAAATACATAGAGGTTATATATCTCTGTATACTACTGTTCTTAAAAATAATTCTGCACGGAGTTCAAAAAAAACACCCCAAATAGCAATATATTTATCCTAAAGGCCACCAATTCAAAAATGGAACGTTTCATTAACATTACTCTTATCTGTCAAAAGAGTGAAGAAAATCCTTTCAGATTGACCTTATGTTAAATTCCAAGAGATGGGTAGGTAATTAAAAAGAACATGTGGATCCATTATTACTAAAGAACTTTCCATCACATGATTTATCAGAATTATGGCCTCTTACCAAAATAAAGCTGCAATTGGGCATTGCCAAAACATATGAAGAAGAACTCATTAGCACCATTACACCTCCAACAATTGGCCAAATCAACTGAATCCTTATCAAAAAGATATTGTGGCATCCGGTATAATTGTAACATCAACTTTTGCTTAATTAAGCAAAAATTAAGATCCATGGCCCTTTGTGAAATACAGAATAAAGAAGCATTCCATTGACTGGGCAAGAGGGGGTACCGCAGTTCATTATTCCATTCTTGGTTAAGACGCTGGGTTAACCTTGTATCTTCTATGCCCTGGTTTGGAACAGGACTGCAGAACCTTGGGCCCAGGGACCACATTGGAGCAGGTTTAGCACCCTGATGGTGGGGATGATTAGGAATATGGCCTGGGCTTGTGTGCACTAATCCCCACCTCCCTTTTTGGGTTTCCTCTGTCTACAGAAGGCTATGGATAATAAACCAGTTACTATAGTTTTAGAGTATCTGAACAGAGTTTCTGCATGGATGCTGATTCTGCAGTTTGCTTCTGCTGATGTTTTCTTGCACTTACGTATCTGGTGGTGGCATCAGTAGAAGTGCGTTCTTTATTAATACTGTGTAAGCTTGTCTTGTGCCAAAAATATTGGCCTTGGTCAGTCCCATCTGCTGTGGTTTTCTTCCTCTGTTCCCTTGGCAAGGAAAGGAAGATACACAGAAAGAAAACCTCTTTTTTTCCTTTGAAACACAAGAAAAGTGCCCAAATGTACATTCTCATCTGTACATGCTACTGTGTGATGAACAGTAAAGAGAACAAACCAAATGCACAATGTAAAACCAATGTTTCAAAAGAGACCCTTGGGGGATCTGAGAAATTACAGGTTACTTAGCTTGAATGCCTGTGCTGGGTAAATTGATTGAAAACATAGTTAAAGGTACAAGGAGTAGGTATGTACTCATAGAAGGACAATCCCTACTAAAAAGAATCAGTATGGTTCCACAAAGTCCTGTCTCACCACCCTTTGGAACCTGAAGAAGACAGCTATTGAAAGCTAGAAGCCCCAACAGCAATCTTAGAATAGTAGAGCTGGAAGGGGCCAGAAGGCCACTGGGTCCAACCTCCTGCTCAGTGCAAGACACCAAGTTAAACCATCCCTCTCAGATGGCTGTCTAGTTGCATCTTGAATGCCTCCAGTGTGAGAGAGTCCACAGCCTCCCTAGGTCATTGGTTGCAGTCTTACAGCTCTAAAAGTGAGGATTTTTTCTGATATCTACCCAGAATCCAGCTCCTATAACTTGAACCATTTATTCCATGTACTGTACTCTGGGCTGATCAAGAAGAGATCCTGTCCTTCCTCTTTCTGACAGCCTTTCAAGTACTTTCAAGTGCTATCATATCTCCCCTCAGCTTGCTCTTCTCGAGGCTAAACCTCAGTTCTTTCCATCTGCCCTCACAGAGCTTTGCTTCCAGTCCCTGGATCATCCTTGCTTCCTTCCTCTGAACCCTTTCCAGCTTGTCTGCATCTTTCCTAACCTGTGGTGCCCAGAAGTGGGCACAGTACTCCAGATAAGGCTACATATGCTACATCTAGTATCTGGGGCCGCATGCCTCAGGCATCAACCATAGCATGTATGTAAATATGTTGGGGAACATGAACAGGTGGGCACTCATGAGCGCTCATGTCTTGCCTGTGAGCAGCTAGTTGGTCACTGTCTGAACAGAATACCTACCTAGATGCACCCTGAGTGTTATCCAGCAGGGCTCCTATATTCCTGCATGGTTCTTATATTAAAGAGACTTGTGCAGTTGCTTTTAGGGCCAAATGGGCCGTCCTGAAACCGCTGTAAAGGAAGGGGTAAAATGCTTTAAAATAAAATAAAATAAAATAAAATAAAATAAAATAAAATAAAATAGCTTCCTGGGGCAGGACTCAAGCCCATTCCATTTTGAAATGTTGAGTTTTCTGTCAAGCATGGATCTGGCTGTGCTTGAGGTAGCCATTTATGTGCATTTCTTTAAGTGGGTCCATTTAAATGTTGAGGAAGTAGATAGAATAGTTATGATAAAGCTACATTTTCTGAATAGTAGAGATAGTAGTGAAGTGTTACACTTAGCTTATTTGTGGAAGTAAGTATAAAGCCTGACGCAAACAGGGCTCACCACCTTAACTCTTGAGGCTGATGGTTTTTTGAACTGCCTTTTGTCTTTTCAGAGTTTGTGGCATTGTGGCCTCTTGGGCTCTGATGGCGCTCTTGCTTGGAGGCTCTTCCAGCTGTGCTATATGATGGACCATCTTCTGGAAAAAATGTCTTTTCTCTACTGCTTGGCCCCCTCTCCCTCCTCATTGTAAGCAATGTTCATAATAGATTCAAATGTCTGCCACGTCTTTGCAGTGGTTTCATTCCTGTATCTGTTTCCTAATGTGGTAAGAGGGATTGGGATGGCAAGCATTTGTCAGGCAGGAGAAGGGAAGGAGCAAGTTTCCCTGTTCAGATTTTGCCATAAGACCGAAAAACAGTGTCCAGCCCCAGCTGTGGAGCTGGATACAGTGTGCTTGCCTCTTGTGACAGTCTTCCCTCTCCCCCATTTCTCCTTATAGCTTTTCAAGCATTGTAAAGCCTGATATGGGTTTCATGTGAGTCTCATCCCATCTCCTTCATATTCCTCAAGTCCTTGGTAAGCTAAGGAGACTGTTCAGGAGATGTGCCTTTAGTGATCACGGCCAGTTTTGAAGGCCAGCCAGGTCACTCAGGAAACAAGCATGGTGCAAGGAACAAATCTTTGGTCTTCCTTTCTTCCTGGTACATCTAAGGGCCTGTGCCTTGACACTCTACCTGACAGTGATCAAACACAGATAAAGGAACTATATTGGTACCCCAGTAATCAGAGCACAAGTTTTCCAAGCCTGTCCTCAGTTTTAATTCAATTTTGTCCCTTTGAAGCTATCACAAATTATTCATAATTGATAATAACTGGACCAGGGCTGGTATTATAGGTAAATATTATACATTTAAACTGCCTTTTGGCTCTCCTAGAGCCAGTGTAGGAACCTTTAAAATGTTTTAAGAAGCATCTAAAAGCAGTCAGCAGTATTAACACATTTAAAGTCACTAATAGGAACAGAGGAAATGTGTGACTTTCAAAGATACTGGTGCTGACTGACTAGAGGAAGATGGCTTGCTCTGCCCTTGTGTCTTTTTAATAGCAGCTTGATGATGCACATCAACAGGAGTTACCCATATCTGCTGTGAAAGTCTTCACCTGCTGATCTCTGCAAAGTTGTAAAGACAGCTTCAAAAGAAGGCAGCACATGCAGCCAGAGATGGGCAACTTGTCTCCTCCCAGAGTTTCAATTTACAGCAGTCAGCCCCCAGCAATGACTGCCCTGGCTAGGGCTGGTGGGAGTTTTAGGCCAACATTTATTGCCAGTGCTTTATCATAAAGATAATCTATAGTCTCTGTGGTCTCTGTGCATCACCATATGGGGTCTGTGCCTGCATAGAGCCTGTTGTCTGGACGTTTCTACAGTGAAGTGTTAGTTTGAGCAGGACCCCCTCCCCTTCCTGTTTCCTGTATCCAGGGGAGGGGCTCCCACCCATTCTATATTCTAATCCAGTGGGTTGAATCCAGACTTGGTTTTGATCTGGCATCCTGCCAAGATCATACTCCATTTATTCAAATCTTTGGTGTGACTGCACTTAGAATATTGTGTACAGTTGTGGCTGCCACCCCTGAAAAAATGTGAGTACTTTGAATTGGGCCTGGGTAGCAACAAGCAGTCAGTGCAGCTGGCAGATGGCTGGCATGATGTGCTTTCTAGGACGGTATTGTTGCATTTTTCTTCTTTTGCAAGGGACCCGAGGCAACTTGCAAGGTTTTCTTCCTCTCCATTCTATGCTCAAAGCAATGCTGTGAGGTATGTTAGACCAAGAGGCAGTGCCTGGCCCAGAGTCACTCAGTGAGCTCCATGCCCTGTTGGGGACTGGAACCTGGATCTCCACTGTCTAGTCCAGCATTCTAACCACTATACCACGCAGACTCATACCATCGTACAACTCAAAGGCTTGTTTCCTCAGTTGCCCTTCTGTAAACAAGGATCACAGACTGTGTTTATGGAAGAGACCTGGATCCAGTGACAGTTCCTGTTGGGGAAAGGAGGGGAAATGAATTTTCACAGCTGCCCACTTCCCATGCTACTCCAAAAGGACCCCTGAACCTCCCCAGCAGATTGTCATGAGGAAGGGGAAACTAGCAGAGACTGCTTCCCTTTTCCCCTGCCTTTCCACCAACAGATGTATACAACTTACTGTATTTTTCCGTGTATAAGACAATACTTTTTCTTAAAAATATTTACCTAAAAATGGAGGGGCATCTTATACACAGGGGACTGGGAGGAGAACTTCAGGGGCACTCGGGGGAGAGTGGCGCAATTGCGGGCATGCGCACAGAGAAGCAGCAAGGTGGCGGATGTGCACAGGCAGCAGCAGCTTTCTCGCTTGGAGATCGGTAAGAAGAGTGGGGGGCGTCCTATACATGGGGGCGTCTTGTAGACGGAAAAATATGGCAAGATCCAAGTCAATGACTCAAAAAGCAACCAGATCTAAAAAGCCTAAGAATTCTAACAAAATGGGAAAAGAAAAGCCCCGCTCAGAAAGAACAATGAAGTAGGTACCAGGCAAACCTCTGTAGAGGTTTTTTTAATAGGTGAGATGCAAGCCCTGAGAAGGCCATTTCTGTGCTAACTACGTAGCACAGAACCTTGCCTTTTCTCGGAATTCAGGTGCACCTGCAAACAGCTATCTTCTGAAGATCTTAACATATGGGGAGGCATACATGGTAGTTGAGTGCATCCACTCTGGATGAAACCTAAATGATAACTAAAGTATTCTTCTTAAAAATACCTCCAAAACAAAACTGGTTGGATGCAAAGCTTTGGCTCCTCTTTGGAAATAGTTCTTAGTTTCAATAGTCTCTAGCCCAAGTGGATATTCCCAGGAGCTGACAAGTGGGCAGTATAGTTTTGTAATGATCTCTAGCTTCCAGTGAGGGAAAGACTTCTCCTGTTTGCTTCTAATGGCAGTGCTTTAGGAGTCCTTTACTGAGCAGGGATTGGACCTGATGGCCTCCTTGGCCCCTTCTGAATCTACTATTCTATGAGTCTATGATTCTATAAACTGAAAGAGGTTTTCATGTATGGCTCATCCCCGCAACATACCCAAAGGGCCAAATGTGCTTCGTTCTTGTTGCTCACCCGAGCTCCTCGATGCCCAATTCTTTTCAGGTGGTGGGGAGAGTCTTTGCAGGCATTTTCACTTCCCACTTCCATGAATTCTCAAAGTTGATAGAGAGTGGTTCTGAGAGTTCATCTGCCTACTTCTTTGTGACTCTAGGATGAATTTCATTGGGCCCTGGAGATCTGAACTCATTTTAGCCCAATTAGAAGATCCTTGATCATTTGCCTGTCGATTTTGAGCTGCCTTCCTGCCTCTTCAGCTTGTAGTTCACCTTCATCAGGTTGTAATTCTTTTGGGAGAAGACTGAGGCAAAGTAGTTCAGCATTTCTGCCTTCTATCCACATTGAGTAGTTGAACTCCCTTCTTTTTCATCTGTCTTTTGCTTTGGACATATTTAAAGGAGGCTTTTTTGTTGCTTTTAGTGCCCCTTGCTAGCCTCAGTTTGTTCATTGCTTTAGCCTTCCTGACAGCATGCTTGCAGTTTCTTGCTACTTGCTTATAGTCTTCCTTTGTAGACCATAAGCATTCCTTCCACTTCCTTTATGTGTCCTTTTTTCAGATTATCTCTTAGCTTTTGGTGAAGCCACATTGGCTTCCTCTGTTTTAATACTATTTTTCCTTGTTGGAATTTGTTTGTGCCTTAAGTTTCTTTTAAATATTCCACCCTTCTTGGGCTCCTTTTCCCATTAGAGAGGCTTGCCATGGGACTTTGTTTATCGCCGCCCTGAATTTGTAAATGTTGGCTTTTTTAAAATCCAGGGTACATGTTTGACTACAATTAGTTTAAACTTCCTTTATTATTGAGAATTCAAGTAAGACATGGTCATTTTCCCCAGAGTTCCCCTAACTTACTTTGTCTACTATGTCTTCCCTGTTGCTTAGGATCAGGTCAGGTAAAGCCATACCTCTCATTCCTAGTCCTGCCACTGTTTTCTTCCCAAAACTTATTTCTGCTTTGAGAGTCCACTCTCATTCTAAAGTAATCAATCACTCCTACCGTCTAGTCACTGCAAAGTCTTTGCAAGGTTGATATTCTCACCCACCGAATGCCTCTTTGTCCTTTCCTTCTTGATGCCAATATCCTTGTTACTGGATCATGGCTCAGCAGGGGCCTGAGACCCAAGTAAGAGGAGCAGTTGACTAAATCAGAAGTAATGAACAATAAAGTATGTGAGCTGTAATGCATTTATTCTGGAGCTGGGAATGCAAAGTAATATTCCTCCTGTTTAACAATGGTTTGGTGGCCCCTGAAGCCCAGAGTAAGTTTGTGCCTGCTATTGGTCTGCTTGTGTCCTTTCTAGCATCTCTTCTTCATAGCATAAAGCGCTGCCAAGCAAAATCTCAAGGGGGTCACCGCATTTTCTGATATAACCCCCAATGAGAAAATATATATAAGGGTTGATACTGCTACTTATGGAATCAAATAACACAGAAATTGTAAAGATGGGTATGTATATTGTATCAAACCAGTATTCCAGGAAATGGAGAAACCTAATGGATGAGTAAAAAGTCACAAACAGTAAAACTGTAACTCCGATGGTGAAGTCAAGTGCTGCAGGGGGTGTTTGTTGTGCTTGTTGTGCTCTGGAAACAATGGCCAAGGTGCAAAAGATCATGACAGGGAGAAAAATCAGGTACTCAATGATCAGTTGAGTTGTAACTGAAATTTTACAGGACAAAGAATCTTCATTCAGGTTTGCATAGAATCGTGGTTGGCACGCATCATATTCCACAAGTGCTACCAGGCCAGAGATGACCCACAACATGACACAAAAAATTGACAGATTCTTTAGTCGGTGATGTTGATACCAGATGGGGAAATAGACTAATGAATATCTTTCGACACACATAGCTGTTAAAATATAGAAACTGCTTTTGCATCCAAGCAAATACATCAGCTCTAAAAAACGTGAAATGGATGAACTGACAGGGTTTGGTACTAAAAATAACATGAAATAAATATACTGATAGAGCAGAACAATAAAATCAGCAGCAGTCGTATTCATGATGTACAGAGTGAACCTCGTCTTCGTGATCTGCCAGGAAATAAATGAAATGACCATTGCATTCCCAAATAATCCCAAAATACAGATGGGAATAGCTATGATTATCATTGCTTTGTTGATGCAGGCTGCTGTCTGCTTCCAATCTGCATCATTTTCTTTACTGCATCAGCAAGGATGGGAAGACAAAGTGCATATCTGTGCCAACTTGAGAGTATGGATTTGTTCAGTTACTCTTCTCAGCCTGCCAAAAAGAAAGACAGTTTGACATTATTATGGTTTTGAGGGGGGTTACTGAAATAGGTAAGTTCCAACACTCATCTGCCAATCAAGGATGCTTATGTTACAGTATTACACTTCTATAAGATTTCATTAGGAAAGGCCATTCTAGCAATTTCTTCCCCTCTTTGACAGTCCGCTTAACTGCTTCATTGTGCAGGTATCACAGGATGGGCAATGCATGGCCTGCTTTTCTGCACCACTGACCTGCTTAGTATGGATACTAAAGTTGCCGTGATACAAAGAGAAGGAACTGTTTGGAAGCAGGATCCTCCTCCTGGGAACCTCCCGGAATCTGATTTGCCCTTGTGCCATTGAGATCACATTTCAGCAGCAGATGGAGTGGCAGTGGGCAGAGGTGCAGCCCCAGGTAGAGCGGCTGGGGGCATGTGGTTCCCTCACCCTCAGGAATTGCCCAGTCTTGGTTTAGAGAAAAGGAAATGATTGGAACCCACAGGATTTGACATCACCTTTCACTATCCCTACAGTAGGCCCTAGTGCACAACTTCCATCTAATGGTACTACCTCAGCTTTCCTCAACCTGGTCTCTTCCACGAGGTTTGGACTACAACTCCCAGCATTCCTGACTGTTGATCATGCTGGTTGGAGCTGAAGTCCGAAACATCTGATCTACTCGCTGTTCCCATTATCTGATACCAGCAGGGCATTGGAAATGATACACCCTGTTGAGTCACTTCAGTAAGGGATGGGGAATAGCAAGATGAAATGTGATCCAGACAAGATGGCAGTACTATTAGTCAAGAATAGTACTTGGGTGAGATGGTTTAACCTGTTCTGGATGGAGTTACATTCCCTTGAAAAAACAGGTAAGTAGTTTTGGAGTACTTGGTCTTAGGGTACTTTCCATGGAAGCTTACCTGGTGATGATTACTAGGAATGTCTCATCAGTTTTGACTGATATGTCTAACCATAACATGGGGCCTTTTCTGGAGAAGGTGGACTTGGCTTCTGTCATCCATGCCTTAGCTATCTGCAAGTGTGGAGTATAGTAATGCAGTCTATGTGGGTTTGCCTTTGAAGATGTTTTGAGATGCCAATGCAGCTCAGGGGACAGAGACTACCCTGGTCACTTTGATAGACAACCTTTACTGGAAACTGGATAGGGAGAACATGTCCCTCAAAGAAGCATTATTAAAAGTAATATAATACAAAAGTCATTGTTAAGTTATGGAAATAACCCTATTATACCATACTGGTGGGCTTTGTACTCATGTCTTACACAAGTAGATGGTTGGCCGCTGTAGAAACAGAAAACTGCTCTACATGGGATCTTGATTCTGATTCAGCAGGACTCTTCCTTTGCTCTTATATTAACTCACAGTGCAACATTAAAATCCATTGAGTAAAAGACAAAACAAAGTGCAAGCAGAGGGCTAGTGCAGCTTACAGTTCTGTTGTTTGAGTCCTGTCTTTTAAAGCAGGAGAAGAATGCTCACCAGATCTACCTGGGGCATTTCCTATCATCATCATCATCTTATCCAATGACCTTTTAAACGTCTTCTTCCCCAAATCTTACCTAGAGCAATTCTGAATTTTCTTGAGGAAAATGATTTGTTTGCCAATTGAGCCTCATCACTCATGGAATACTTCTCAGGGAAACTGTCAAGTCAAGATCATCTGAGAAAATCACTTTGATGTCATCTTAGTTCTGACAGTACCTGACCAATTTACCATCTTAACATCTCATTCAGGTAGCTTGTCTCTACAGTCGGTTGTGACAGAACTACATGGCCAGTTACGGTTTTCTGAAGATAACAAACTGAATGATTTAGGGTTAGGTGTTTTGGCACATCGGGTATGAAATAGCTTTCAATCATCCTCTTGAATTTATCCCACCATCTCAGCCCACCAAAGCCTTGGAAACTGAATAACTCTGGGACATTGTAGGAGGAAGAGATGGCTGTGGCTAAAGAAATATGATGGCCACCATGTTTTGTTGTTGCTAGTTGCCAGCTGCTGGCTTTTCCCCTCAAAAACCATGGGTAGCTGTGAGCCATGTTTTTGTGTTGGAGTCATCACCCCACCACCACTCACCATACTCTTAGACTATCTCAATGTATAAGGACAAATTCAAATTATGTATGTAATAAAGCAAGGGTTAATTGATCAGTTAACCAGACAATTATGGGAATACAATACAGATTTTTTTGTTCATCGACTACTGGTTCTCTTCCATCCCTATCTCTCTAGGCACAGAATCACAATAGTATAATACAGATTTCTGTATTAGGTAGGGAATTATTTTTTAGATGAAGTTCACTGACCCATTTAATAACCATTTTATATAAACAGGTTATAGCAAATATCTACAATAAACAAAAAGCTGACAAAGTCCAGGGTTAATCTAAATCTTTAACTTCATAAAAAGCCCCTATTTTTATAAAGCTCTTACATAAGTCTTTAAAATAAAATTGCTAAGTTTTTAAATAGGCTAAATTTAAATTTGCCTATACTGACAAATTTGTTATGACCCAAACCAAGGAATGTTTCTTGCAATGTTTCAAGATAAGGCATATGTTCCAATCAGAAGTAGTAACCACTCTGATGACAAAAGCTGTTAAGTGTAACAAACCTCTGCTCCCACTCAAAGTGCTGCACCTCTGAGGCTTATATACCTGCTTAGCCACTAAACACAATCTCTAGCATGTGTTCTTCCCTCTTGTTCTCCAGCTCTCAGGTATATTTAATGGGTCCCACACTGCCAGAGAGTCAGAAGTGGGCCACCTGAGGCTGCTTGAGCTTCAGCACCTGTCTTAAGCATGCCTCGTGTGCCCCCAATCCTGTTTCCCTGGACTAATGTTGGATTAATTCCAGTAAACGATGATGATACATAAATAGCTGGCAGGGCGGAGGGGCCTACCAACATCTGGCTGGTGGGACCCGTATCCAGTGATCAGCAGGTCAGACGAGGGCTCTGTCCTCTCGGGCACTGAAGTCCTCTTGCCAGACTTGGCAAACCTGACATCCAAAGGAGAGGAAAGGTCATCAACACAGTAGACTTGCTTCTGGAATGAAACCTTCAAAGGCAGGCAGAACTAAGTTGGTTTATCTTTTTGACTGTTTTCATCCTCCCGATGCTAGTCCTGCTCCCAGCTGTTATAGAAGTACAGAAAACAGGCATTTTATTTGTGCAGTGATCTGCTTGTCACAGGCTGGTTTTCCTAGGAGGAATAGATCAACTATACTCGCACAGGTCATTCAGGCAAGTTCCTGAGGATGGCTTGGACATTGTGCCATCATCCTGGAAGTAATAAAAGGTTTAGGGCACTAGCATGTTGCCCCCACGACTTATCTGTGCAAGCCAACAACTGGGAAGAGGATGGGAATCCAATGTGGGGCATGGCATTGGTGGTCTCTGCTGCTCGCCTTCTAGATTTACAGCTAAGGAGAGGGAGGGAAAGAGGCTGGGTCACCAATTAAATTGGTCTAACTCCACAGCCCCAAGCGCCTTTCCTCCCTATCCCTTAGCATGCCCTCTTTTCCCCCATGTGAGGCCTGGTTGTGCCCTGGGGAGGGGCAGCTGACAAGGTTCTTCCCATGCCGGCTACAGGAGGGCAGAGCAGAGTCATAGCATTTGGGGGCCCAGCTCCAAGATCACAGGATGTTGGAGATGGGGCTCTAAAGAGCATTATGACCTCCCAGATGATATCAAGAAGCTATTGGATTGCATCCTTAGTTTTTTGCTTCTTTGCTTTTATCAAATTGTTTTGGATGGCTGCAAAATAGGAAAATAAATACCATAGTTACCCTCCAATGTTCTTTTTGATCACCTCTGATGATGCTTCTGCCCATCATAGCAGTTTGATACTAGAATGGTATTGTGAACTCCCCTCACTGGGATGATGTATGTCCTATGTAACAAATGGGATGAGAACCTCATGACCTCGCAACAACTGTTAGCCACAGTCTGGTAGTGCTCATAGTGGAACTCTGGATCCATTTCAGTCTGGTCTTTGGGTTGGGTTTGGCAAGGTGTGATAATCCATATGGAACAGATAATCTGCAGTAGGAGAGAGACAGGGTAAATGTGATTGTGTTTATTTTTATTTATTTAGTCAAGAAATGTGTATGCTGCTTTGCCAACCAATGCAATTCCCAAAGCTATAACCAAGACATCTGAAAACAATAATCAAACCATGTAACAGTCTCAATATAGTAGTACCTTGGCTCACAAACTTAATCCATTCCAGGACTCTGGTTGTGACCCAAATTGGTAGTGAGCCAAGTCAAATTTCCCCATAAGGTTCAATGTAAATACGGTTAATTTGTTCTATAACCATTTTTTAAATCAGAAAAATGTGAAGCAAAGTGACAACAACAAAGATCATGGCCATCTCCCCGCCCCCCCTGAGCAGAAGCACAGCCATCTCCCCCCACCCCCCCAGCACAACTGAGATCGCGCCTGTCATCCCAGCACGCGCCTGTCATCCTGGGGAGCTGGGGGGTGCAGGGGAGAGATGGGCACGATCACGGGCGCACTGGGGGAGGAAGAGAAGGGCATAAATGGAACTGGGGGGGGACGGAGAGACGGGCATGAATGGGGCACGCTGGAGGAGGGAGAGACGGGTGTGAACGGGGCACGCTGGGGTGGGAGAGATGGGCGCCATCTCTGCCATCTCCCCCCCCCCCC